ATCTGCATTGTAGCAATTGTATAGGTAGGCGTCTCAAAAACAGATGCGCACGCCCAGTCCCACCAAGCAAGCCTTGCCAGCTATTTAAGCTCCTGCGAAGCTCCGCCCAGACTCGCGTCATACAGCTTCATGGTACCTTGGCGACCCTAGGGCAGGGCGCCCCATCTGGAAGGACGATAGTAAAGCGCATAGTACATGCATGTCGATCGCCGTATCGTCGGAACAGCCTTGACTGGATTGCTATCGCCTGCGGTACAAGCCAGGCTAGACAATCTCTTCATCGCGACAAGCTCAGCGTTGCCAAGACGTCGAAAACAACAGTCGGCCTGTCCATCACGCGTCGTGATTCGTCCGTGGTGTGTGATAACGCAAATAGCGATGTTCACAAAGGCGGGGTGTGAAGTTGGCATGATAGCAAGGTCATATGACGGGAACTGCTCTAGCCTCCAAAACGGCCGCGCTAGTGCCGGATTAGGCAGCTCCAAAACTTCGACATCATCGTGCGCCGCGATAAACAAGCAAAGTCAAGCCACTAGCTGTTGGGTCCGACGGCGTGTTAGCTGCTCTTGGGCGTGCTTGACTTGCTCTTGGAAGGTGACGGAGTGGATCGTGTTCCGGACCTCTCGAGAGTGCCCAGGTGCAGCATGCACCCCGCCGCCAACCCGGTTGACGGCATTCTGAGGGGCCCAGCGACGTCTTTACGAGTCTCTTGTCGGGGCGATGGACATTATGGTGCACGCGCTTATCTATGGCTTGATATGCGCGCGTTCGTGAGATATCTGGGCAGCGCGGCAGTGTGCACAGAACTAGTGCATCCCGAGGTCTCGTTGCATCGCCAGGAGATCTAAAGCTTAGGTATCCAGGTACACCCACGTCACCACCTGTTGGATCGTACGGCATCGAATCTCCTAATCTTTTTAATGTTAAGGCAGGAGGGAGCACCGTGTTTGTGAGGGAGAATATCTAAACACCTTGACGCCTACATCGACGCTGCGTCTTCACCTTTGCTTCCAATTCCAAGGTTACCATCCTCCTAAAGTAGGCTGCAAGCCTCTACGAAGTGGTCAAGACCTACGAGATCTTTCATGGAATGAAATCGACCAGACTACACGCTGCGTTCATATGGAGACTGTACCCCGATAATAGACATCGACTAAATCTTTCCGTGATCATTTCTGCGTTACAAAATCCCGGTGTCACTCGCTAACCCCCAGACTCTCTTTAAAGCACACGTCTGCTCTCTTGAACGCGCATCGCATACCTCTTCTCGGCTTTTTATCCACGAGTAAACACTTGCTTGAGTTCATGCATTGAAGACACACGCTCAATATCCAGCAAAGCTTGAAGAATATGTTGACCTCAACGCCTGTCAAGGATGGGAAATCGAGGATGGAGCCGCGCGAAGCAGGTCGGACGCCGCTTAAGAGACGGGAGAACGATGGAAAAGGCAGTGAGAAAAGCGGGAGCGTTGAGAATGGCGTTAAAAAGGAAGTGAGGAAAGAAGACTATGGGGATAAGGATAAGGGCGACTATCACTTGGAGACTTGGGTGCAGTTCTTGAAGAGATCGAGGACGTGATTGCGCAAGGGCGCAATTAGTCGCCATGAACGAGGTGACGCAGTACCGCGAAGTCTGTTCTTTGGGGTAGTTTGCGAAAGACTAGTTATGGGCATACATCACACGACCACTTCTTGTTTGATGTACCTAGGCAGAGCAAGCTCAGTGACGTTTAGCATTTACCATAAAGTCCAGTGCTCTTCCTTCGTCTTTGCGAGATCACATCACTCAAGAGTACCAGACTATTAAGTACCAGCCACCGCTTCGCCATGCAATCCGAGCTTTACCTCCCAACCAAAATTAGCGGCTTATACATATCACCCACCATTCGAGCCCTTCCCGACTGCATAGAAATCGCGACACCCCAACCTGGAGCCACCGAGTATCACATCCAATGGTCGTCCTACTGGAGCAAAGAGAAACTAGCTCTTGATGACACGGTAACCTTACCAGCCGTGAAGAACATGACTGTCAAGACAGTTGACATGCATGGCAGGACCGGCGCACGTGTTCCCGGCATCTTTGTTGCAAGCGAAGAGGTAGAGCAATCACTGCTGGCCATTTGGACGACAGCGGAAGGAAAGAAGACAATCATACTTATCATACCCGTGGATCAAGGGGGCAATCAGGAGGGAGATGGGACTGAGGTTGATGGATTTGTGATAGTTGAGAAATGATGATTAGTTGGTAACTGCCGTTGTATTCTTGCAGTAGGGGATGTTGTAGTTGGGTTACTGTGCACTTGCCATCTGCCATCTCTCACGGAAGTCGCTCATAAACATGATCTCAGTCCTACCTTCCTTCCAGAAACAGGTTTAGTTGTTGTTTCCTAGATCAATCTCTCAAACAGTTTGCGAACGTGAGATCATTCTCGCAGTTGTTCTTCAGGAAGCCCGTCGTTTGGCTTGGTGCAAACCTACCTGGGCAGTGACCACTAACCACTTGTCAGAACAACGCCCCTTCCATCTTTCCTAGTCAGCAAAGCCCGCTTCCAACCTTGGAAATCTCGCCACCAAAACATACCATCCATCACTTCTCACCAACTTATCCACTTATCTACTCATCCACTCATCCACACATCCACTCATCCCACCATGCCCAGACCGCGCCTAGTCGACCTAAATGATCGAATCGCCGAGCTCACCACCCAGCTAAGAGTTGTCACAAAAGAACTATACTTCCCAATCCACATCCGCGGCGTTTACGTATCCCCCAACAGAGACACATCCAACGGCACCGTCTCCATGACGGTTGAACGGCTAGCACGATCGGAAAACGGAGAGCTTCAGCCCTATACCACTCCCTCCCCGATACGGTTGTCCCACCTGCCATATGAAGGACACAGACCAGAACACATGGTGGACATGCAGGGAAGAGTTGGTGTGCGCCTTCCCGGTGTGTTTGTTGCGCCGGAAGAGGTGGAGGCGCCGATTGTTATAACTTGGAAGCCATACGCGGCGGGGATGAAGAGGACGGTTGTGAGGATTGGAGATCAGACAGATGAGGATCTTGTGAGGTGACCTGAGTAAGGGAGGGAGTTCGCGTGAGGGAGGTGGTGCCCTGAGGAACACCTTCGCAGATGGGGAGAAGGATGAGCTGAGCGGGTAGTAGCAGGCGCCGAACATTGATACTAGAAGCCGTTTACTTCAGCCGCTCGAAGCGAAAAGAAATTACATTGTTATTTTACTCCGCAGCTCAAGCGAAGCGCTGATTCGATGTTCACTGCGCACTTACCACTTGCCATCTCCACGGAAGTCGCTCGTCAACATCCTCAGACCCACCTTCCTTGCCAACCCATCACCTTTCAGCAACCGCGGAGGAGCCTACGCGCACGTCGCATGCACCCCAACATCGAACCATCACATCACACAAGCCCCATCAATCAACGTACCGCAGACCCACTTGCTCCCATTACTTCCATCCATCTATACAAGCAAACGCGCTCTTCTCATCCATCTCAACCCACTCAGATCTCTTACCATCACCACTACCACCCCTCTCCATCCACCTCATCGCCCAACCACATCATGCCTCCGCCTCCGTTATACAGATCTCAACTACAAAAAATGATCCACGATCACACTGAGTCACTCCGAGACAGCGACCCCCGGCTCTACGCCGCAACGAAAGAAGTCGATGATCTCAAAACGTCGCTCCGGGACAGCGACGCCCGGCTCTACACCGCAACGAGAGAAGTCGATGATCTCAAAACGTCGCTCCGGGACAGCGACGCCCGACTCTACGCCGCAACAACAGAAATGTATGCGATAACCCCGTTCCGCGGTATCTACGTCTCGCTCGACCCCAGTGCCTTCTCAGGCCAAGTCCAAGTACAAATCAGGCTGCCGGGGGAAACGCAGTACAAGATCCAGTGGTCGACCTAGGGCGACGACCTTGGGATTATGTCGCGCCGTGGAGACAAGAACATGCATGGGAGACATGGGATACGGTTGCCGGGGCTGTTTGTGGATCGAGAGGAGGTGGACAGGTCGGTGCTGGTTTGCCATACTACTTTGCAGGGGATTAGGACGTGGATGAGCTTTGAAGCGAGGGGTGAGGAAGGGACTGGGTAGGGTGGTGCTGTGAATGTGTGTACGGATGGGGGGGCGGATGGGGCGAGTGGATGGTAGCAGGCGATGTATGACTTCATGCGCATGCTGTCAGGTCACGCAACGGGCGTCATTTGACATGACACAAACACTATAACCACCAGTATTAGTAGGACAAGATCTCGTTCTTCATCCTCAAGTACCTCAACCCCCGATTCAATCCCGCATCACCATCACTCCTAATACCAAAGACCCAGAATACTCTTTGCCCCCATCTTCTTCCTAGTCCACTCTACCATGACAACAGTACCAGCACTCAAGACCGCCCTCAACAACGTCAACGCGCAGCTCACAGTGCGGGACGCCCAACTCGTCAACCTCAACACGCAGATCACCGACCTCAAAACGCGGCTCAACAACCAAGGCGGGCATCTTATCCAAGCGGCACAAGAGCTATACGCGCCTATGATTCTCCCTGGGATATATGTCTCGCTCAAAGGGTGGGTGGGGGAGGCGGAGGGGAGGCGGTGGGGCGGTGGAGGGGGGGGTGGTGGAGGTCAATTTACCTAGAGACGTATCAGCGTGGAGATGAATTCAATATGTATGAGCAGCATGGGACTTGTTGACCGGGTCTGCTTGTTGATAATGTAGGGGTGGATAGGTGGGTGGTGATTTGGCATACGGTCGGGGGAACGAGGACGTGTGTGACTTTTGAGTGAGGTAGTCAAGGTGCTGGCTTGGGTGTCTAGATGGAGGTGGTAGTTTGGAGTAGTAAAGGCATGCAGGTGGTTCGTGCGTGTGAAATTGTTTTCACCGTCATCAATTGATACACCTATTCATGGCCACGAGGTATTGCAATAGGAACTATTTGTTCGCTCGCTTAACGAGAGTCGTCTATTGCCGCTTGCTAAGCCCAAGCTCGTGTTCAAAGATCTTGGCTATGATTTGTCCGTCGTTCCTTTTCTTGGCTTTCGTCTTCGCCTCTTTCTCCGCTTTATTTACTTCCTTCTCCTCTACAGCACCGCGTTCCTGTTTCTCCGCTTCCTCGTTGTCCTTTCGCTCGTCGTCCTCTTTGTCGGCTTCCTCCTTCTTATCCACATCTCGCTTACCCTCTCCTCCTAAAATCCACCGGTAACGATGACTGTCGGTCGACAAGCGGTTGAGACTCATGTTTTGGCTTGAGTGAAAAGTGGTACGTTGAGGCATAAGATAAGGATGGAGATATAGATTGTGAAAGTGAAGGTGAAAATGTATGCATAGTTCCAGAGTTTCCCAGGTGGATTGGCTATCATTATGTGGGAAGATAGGGATGTTGTGGGAGGCCGGGATAGAGCGCGGTGCTTGACAAGCGGAAGAGAGACGGGTGATGTGTAATGTGTGATGCTGGCGTTTATATTTATCGTCGACGAGCATCGCAGCTAGTCTACACAAACCTATCCCGTCTGTCTAGCATATCCATATCCTCATCTCACTCACAAACTCCAGCTCGCATATCATTGAACCTCTTATACGCCTCCTCGATACCATCCCGCTCTATTTCCAGATTATCGATCTTCACCACCGCCTTTTCGGCCTCCGTAAAGTACCACAACCGAATTGGCCTCTCCACCTCTTCATGCGCAACAAATATACCAGGCAGACGTGTGCCGAATCTGCCATGCATGTTGACTGTCACTGCGTCTTCACGTCGGTAGTTTTCTGGGTGAATTGATCTCCAGTTAGAGGACCAAACGAGTTCTTGTTCGTCGTCGGGCAGGTCGTGTAGTACTTCTATGTGGGTGCTGAGTGCTGGTGGGTCTGCGGTGACGTATAGGCCGCGGGTTAAGGTGGGCATGTAGAGTTCCTGTGTTGAGCTGTTTTGTTCTTTCATCGCGTCGTCTCGTTCTTTTATCGCGTCATCTCTTTCTTTCATTGCGGCGTCTCGCTCTGTAATCGCATCGTCTCGTTGTTTGGCCCTTTGTGAGATTGTCATGATCTGGGTCTCGATTATGTTTTCCAGATGGTTTATGGTTCTTCGTGGCATGGCTAAGCTGATGGGTTGCGTAGGAAGCGGAGCTAGGGAATCCTAGGGCTGTTCTTTGTTCGGGTTGAGAGACGAGATGGATGGATGTTGGCGTGCAGAGAATCGAATGCGTCTGTTTAGAGTGGTTATTTATGGTGGCTAAGTTTGCGCTGGATTGATTGCGCGATTGCTATGCTTAGCTCTTGTGTTGACGATACTTTTCTTTTCGAGAGCACCTGATTGGATGAGTGAATATAGATTTTGGAAGTTGTGAGTCGCTCATCTGCGTCGCGTCACCGCAGTACCATGGGACGAAATCCACCCAAGCTTATCTAGAACACATGAACCGAACAGGCGCGTACAGGACGAACAGAACACATTTCTATAGACTAATACTCGTACAAAGCCAACCATAGTGCCAGGAACATAAAAAAGGAGGAGTACAAGGATATGTCCACGGTCGCTTTCTAGTCAATGAGCAAGCTATTCAACCTCGCCTCCGTAGCAATAACATCCAACGCCTGCTTAACCTCCAGCACTCTCCTGCACTCGCCCAACCAATCCTTACTCAGCACCTTTGCCCACCCTTGTAGTCCATTCATCTCTCTAGCCGCAGCATCGAGATCACCCTCCTCAAGCAGAACCTCCGTCCGTGCAAGCACAGCCTCTACGTCGCCACCAACAGCCAACCCACTCTTCTTGAACAGCACCTTCGACATGGCGAGGGAAGCGAGATGGGAAGCCACACCCGCGTCTTCAGGCAACAGAGCCGCTTTCCTGACTTCAGAAGCGACGCGGCGGAAGCGGTCGATTAGGAGGGCGGAGCTGGGGATACCGCGTTGGTAGGCGGCGGGGTTGATGCTCGCGATAGCGGCGCTGACAACAGGATCATCGGCAGCGATTTCCTTGAGCGCCGCGAGCTCCGTGACGAAGGGCTTGGGGATGGCTTGTGTCTCGAGAGCCGACTTGACGGCCTCGACGGCGACGACGAGGTGCTGCGTCTTGAGGTTGGCGTCGACGACGCTGTTCCACTCGGCCGTCAGCTTCTCGAGCTCGTGCACAGAGGAGGAGAGCTCGTTGAGCTTGCCGAGACGGCCGTCGCGTTCGGCTTCGACGCGCTCCCGGACGTTGGCTGTGAAGGACTTTTGCATGTTGATGCTCTGTTCGAGCAGTTGGTTCTTGAGCTTCTGGTCGTAGACCTTTTGGGCGGCCTGGAGTTCAGACTGGAGGCGCTCCTTGTAGGATTGTGACAGACGCTCGCGCTCGTTTTCGAATTCCTCTTTGAACTGGGCTTCTTGCGCCTGCATCTGGTGGTCGAGGCGCTGGACGAGCTCCTTGGCGGCTTCGTCGAATTCGGCGTGGGCGGCCTTGACCTTGTCTTCGGTCTGCTTCTGGAGGCTCTCCTTCATCAGGTTGATGTCGGAGACGACCTTGGCAAGCTCGCTCTTGGCCTTGTCCAGCGCGGAGTTGTACCTGCCGTCGTGGGCGTTGTCGGCGTTGATGACGGTGATGATGTCGTTGACGATCTTGACGACATCCTGGACGACGGGCTCGGTTGCGGAGGGTACGCTGAGGTGGTCGAGCTGGGAGATGGGCGTGGCGGTCTCCTTGACCTCCTTAACTTCCTTGACCGGGGTCTTCTTCTCTGTGGGCGCGGGTGCGCTTGATGAGACCTTCGGCTGTTGTCCGCCCGACTCGGTCTTGTCCTGGGGCTTGTTGGCATCGACGGCGCTCAGATGGGGGCCCTTGGAGGCGAGGTCGCTCTTGTTCTCCTGGGCTGGGCGCGCAGTCAAGCCGCTCCGTCCGGGGATGGTGACCTTGTTCTCGCCCGAGATCTGGGGGTGCAGTCGTGGTTCGCCAGCGCGGCCGGGGAATCGCCGCCTGAACTCGCGCTCCTCGAAGTAGGCGACGGCATCCTCGCCGTAGGGGATGTATTCGGTGAAGAAGTCGTGGAAGTTGTCCGACACGAGCGAGTACCAGACACCGCCGGCGTACCCGAGGCCAGAGAGGACCGTCAGCCAGAGCAGCAGCTTGCGGAATATGCGTCTCTTCTTCTTGGGCTTGGGCTGGATGGGGTCAGGGGCGATGCTTGACGAGCCGGGGCCGGTGGGGGGTGTCGTCTTGGGCGATATGGCGGGAGCATCACGCGATGCGCCTGCAGTCACGGTGCTGTCGGGCGCCGGCGGTGCCTTGGGGATGTCCGAGGTGGGAATGGTGCCCTTGGGGTCGGAGGGCGAGGTGGTGGGCGCGGGATTGGGGACGGCCGTCTCGCCCAGGTTCTTGCTATCGGCGTAGCTGCGCTGGGCTGGGAGCCATTGCGGGCGGGCGGCGCGGGCCAATGGGCGGGCAGCTGGACGGGCCCGTAGAATGGAGGCGCGCAGCATAATGGGCTGCCTCCGAATGGCTTTAGGGTGATGGGGGAGGTAATTCGGCGTTGTTGATGGGCTGGACGTCTGCCAACATGAAGATTTGGAGCTCGACCAACACACGTCAGGGTGCACGGACTCTCGGCAGTCCCAGGTTCTCGTCCGCCGCACCCACATGCTCCCACGACAACTCACCACCACTCCAAATTTGATGACAGCCAACAATATGCTGTGCCAAATCCACTCACACTCACAATCTTGCTCAATGACTAACCGCAGCTTCACTTCGGCTTCCCTTGCCGCGCGAGCCCACGGTTACTGATCCAAACTTGCAGCCACCCACTCACAGCGCCTCTTGTTATTCTGGTCGAGAGCAATGTACGGTTGACTGCCAACGAATTCTCTCACGGATTTCTCTTATAAACTGTCGATTCTTTCTCTCTCTCTCATTTCAACCATCTCTCTCTCACATCACTCTCACATCAAAATTCTATCCAAAGCAGACCCCAACTGAAACCAGTCAAGTCAGCCCAGCCTGCGCCATCTTGCAACGTCAGCATATTACGGCCACCATCACAAGCTGCACCAGGCAGCCGCTTTACCAACTCTCCATCACCCGCGCACTCTCACACAGCTTTCGAGCGCCTGAGATCGTCGCAAGAACCAGACCCACCTTCCAGATCCGTCTGCAGGAGCAAATTCCGAGTGTGGCTTTGTCCTCGGCTACCTTTTCTCCGTCTCAACAAACTACCGCCAGCAACACAGCCAGCACAACTTTAAATTTCCAACTTCTGGTCAGCTGAGCATTCACACCGAACACCTGTTCGCATACCACGGGCCGAGAAAATCTCCCCAACAAAACCTTTCGCACGAGACAAAGATCTCCGCGCAAAACCCAAACCCCGCCAGCAACACACGGCCAGCAAGTTTGAACTTTTCAACTTCTGGTCAGCTGAGCATCTTCACTCCGAACACCTGTTCGCATACCACGGGCCGAGAAAATCTCCCCAACAAAACTCTCGCACGAGACAAAGATCTCCGCGCAAAACCCAAACCCCGCGAAAATTTAAACAACACCCCGCAAAAATGTCTGCAATCCCATCCCACAGCTCCGCCACCGCGCGCGATGCCACCACAAACTACTCCTACGATCTCAGCAACGCGATCTACGGCGCCTTCCCCAGCTGCGCAACCGATATCTCGCCGCGCAGATCACGCGCCGCATCTCCAAGTTCCGCGTCTGCATCAAATTCATCAAAGAAGCGCAGCAGCACAGCCCGCATGACTTCAAACACCGCCGGCACTGCAAACCCCATTATAAGCCGCACACTCTGCCGCCAAGCCATAAGTCTGCACCGCGAAAACGCGCCCCCAACCTGGCTGCCCGCACCCAACCCCACCAGTCCCACCAACAAGCGCAGTGCACTCGCGCGACGCCAGCAAGGCCAGCAAGGCATGAATATCCACGCGAGCACGTGCGTCAACCTCAATGCCAGCGCCGAAGAAGAAAGTTCTGAAGCGGATTTGTGGATCTTGCCTGAGCTTGACGACTGGGAAGAAGACGAAACCGAAACAGACTCGTCTACGATTTTGACGCCTTCGAGTTCTGCGGAGTTGGACGCCCCAAGACCGGCGGCTGGGGGAATGGAGAATAAGTGGGCTGGTGTTTTACGCCGCGCTGCCAACTCGAATCTGGAGCGACTTCGGACGAGGATGGAGGGGGAGGGGTGGGATTTCGTCAAGCCTGATGAGGAGGATTTGGATGAGGATGAGGAATTCGACGTCGTTATTTGTGGCAAAGAGTAGGGGGATGGGTATGCCGGACGACTACGAGGGGGTTCACGATTACGATATGTACGATGTTTACTGGCGGAAAAGCGACATCACCATTTATGATACCCAATTTTTGATAGAGTTCTGGATGAATTGTATACCTCAAACCACGTCTTTAGAAATTGTGTGCATGGTAATGGTGGTGATGTATACCTCAAACTACATTAGTCAGAAATTTGTGCGTGTGAGTGGTGATGATGAATACCTCAAACCACGTTTTGCATGACCATGTTGTTGTGAATGTTCCTATTGTATCCCTCAACCAAGATTATTACAAAAACATACTAAAAACTTCTAATTATACATCTCATCCCAAGTTCCCCCAACCCAATACCCCCACTCACCCTTCCCTCCCCTCCCTCTCCCCTCCCTTTCCCCCACCCTCCCTCCCCTACTCCTCTCTACCCTAACTCTCTCCCTTCCCTCCCCCTCCCCCTCCCCCATCTCACAAACCCAACTCGCACCTACTCAATCCTCTTCTTCCCCTCCTCCAACCCCAATAACCTCGCATCACTCTTGCCCCTCTCATGTTTCGCCGCCCCTCCGACCAGCGGCCCCACAACAGGATTATTCCTTACTTTGGCCAGCGTCTCTTGGAAGGCTTCGATTTGCGGGGGTTGGCGGTTGAGTTTGGGGAAGTTGACCTGTTGGAAAGAGAGAGGGTTAGCGAGTGTAATCTTTAATGAGTGGAAAGAAGAACAAGGGGGAAAGGAAGGAAGAAGGTGGGATGGGAAGGAAGGGAAGGAAGGAAGGGAAGAAAAGAAGGAAGATAGGGGGAACTTACATATAACGTCCCATGATTCCAAATGAAATTCGCGCAGACAGCCGCGGTGAGGAGGGATATGAGGAGGAGGAGACGTAACGGCCAGACCGCCGCGTCGGGTGCACGCTGAGTGAAACTCCCCACGAAAATGAAAAAGACGGCTGCGGCGAGGATATACGGTATCGACTGGATGAAGAGCGGTCTCCGATCCGCGAAAAGAAGCTGTCCGCTCATACTAGAGTCGCTGGGCAGATAATTACCCAGGAACAAATCGAATGCATCCTGTCTCGGTCCATCGGTGAAGTTATTAAGACAATATCTTGTAATGGAGTTATTCAGATCCTGCAAAGCACCAGCTTTTGTCCTTACACCCAGGCGTGTGAAATCGGTCTTTAGGGCTCCGGTACCAGAATATGATTTCGACACCACATCCGCGTTATCGGCCCAGACGTTGCGGAACAGGTGTTCGAATGCGGCGTCTTCTTCTGCGGACTCGCCTTCGCGCATGAGACCGCAGTCGATGAGCATGCGGCTGAGGACGTAGCGGCCCAGCATACTCTGGACGACGTTTGTGCGGTCCAGACAATCCATGCAGTTCGTGCGCACCACAGCCGTCTGATGCCGTCGGACCTCCACGCCGCTGCCATCACCGGGCATGTCGACGCCGCAGAAGTAGCCATGTTTGAGGACGTGGGGCTCGAGTTCGTTCATGAGGAGTTTGGCGCGGTCCCACCTTAGGCCCTTTGTTTCGTTGTGAAAGTCGAAGTAGACGTAGTGGAGGCGGTCGTATACGGTTTGCGCTTTGGCGGGGTCGATGATGTGGAATTTCTCAGAGGTTATGCGGTCGCCTTCGACGTTTTCGGCGGGGGATGTGTGCAGCAGGTTGACCATTTGCTCGTAGGCTTCTTTGACGCGCTGCTCGCGGCCTTTTTGGTTGACCAGGTTCACCATCCAGTTATCGCCGTAGAGACGGATTTGCTCGGCGAAGTGCTTCTTGGCGGCTGGCAGCGCGTTGTCGATGCCGCGGACTTGCAGCTTGGGCGTGTATTTTAGGGTGTTGATTTCGGCCCAGTAGACGGGCACGCTTCCTCTTGTCTGCACGTACGCAAGCACCTGTGTCTCCTTTCCGGCATTTCCTCCTGCTGCGCCGTTCTGGTTTGAGCCGAATCCGCCGGGGCCGCCCGATGCGTTGTCGTTCAGGATGATGGTCTGCTCCGTCTCGTTGAAGTTGGACACGTTGCCGTTCTCGTCGATGCCGCGCGAAAAGTAGCGGGTTCCGGCCTTGAGGCGCGAGCGGCGGGTGATGAGGATGAAGATGAGAGGGGTGCCCTTGATGGATGTGTTCTTGATTTCGAGCATTCCGTACATGACGGGCAGGATGTAGGGGTCTGCGCCTGGCTGGTGTCCGCTCGAGTGCCTGCCATATCCGCCGCTGAGACCTCCGCGGAAGTCGATGAGGTCGCTAGACACGAAGCGGTTCCAGTAGAAGCGGTCGTCTGCGCGCTTCCACAGGGGCGTCGCGGGGTCGAGGTGGGCCTGGCGCTGGAAGGTGTTGGTAATGTCGAAGGAGTAGGAGAAGAACAGCGGGGACGTCTTGATGAGCGTCTTGAGCAGGCTGAGGTAGTTGTCCTCGTCGGCGTCGTGCAGCGGCTTCTCGCGCAGGGAGAGGAACTCGGTCGACACTATTTTGTAGATCATGTGGCCCTTTATCCGGCCCATGGGCTGGGCCTTGGTAATGACGATGATGTACTTGTCTTCACGTGCATCAGCATTCGTGTCCCCTGGTGCTGTGCAGGAGAGGCATACCTAGTCGCAGCTTGATCATGCCGAGGATGCCGGCAATGCTCGACACGCGCTTGGAGCCCAGCAGCTTGCCATCGTGGAGGCGGATGTCACCTGACGGGCGGTCTACGACGAGTGTAGGGGCCGAGGGCGACGAGGGCGACGAGAAGGCGTAGTGCGAGGGCGACGAGTGGACATTGATGTCGCGGTAGGGGAGAGCGACGCTCATGATGTCGTCCACCTGGCGTGTGTGCTATACGAACTATATCTGGCGATCTAGGCGTGGTGTTGAGTATGTGTTTGGCGATGTGTTTGGATGTGTTTTCTCAAACGGGAGGTTTCGTCATGGCGGCCATTGCGGCCAAGGGTCCCCGACTCGCGCGCTAGGGCCAAGCACCAGACGCAGCACCTCGTCACAGCACCATCCAGCTCTTTCACCTTCACCACACCCCAACACGCCTCTCTCACCCATACCCCGACCCGGTCCCGCCTTGACCGCCCACTACTCGCACCACCACCCTCGCCCACTCTACACCACCCCCCTCCGCCACAACCCGCTAGCGCCGCGTCACCCCCATCATGTCGGCCAGGATGCAGCAAGGCCAACGGCCCGGCGGCTCCAGATTCGCACAGTTCAAGCTGGTGCTGTTGGGTACGAGATTACTATGATATGTGTTTGAAGACATGACTAACGTGCCCAGGTGAATCCGCCGTCGGAAAGGTGCGCAGGCCTATCAAGGCAGCCATGACATAAGCTAACATGCCGCAGTCGTCTCTAGTATTGCGCTTCGTCAAGGTACGCCATACCACATGTCCAGACATGTTCCGAGGACTAATGTATGCAGGACCAATTCGACGACTACCGGGAATCCACCATCGGCGCCGCCTTCCTCACCCAAACCATCGCCCTCGATGAGAACACGACGGTCAAGTTCGAGATCTGGGATACCGCCGGCCAGGAGCGCTACAAGTCGCTCGCGCCCATGTACTACCGAAACGCAAACTGCGCCGTCGTCGTCTACGACATCACACAGGCCGTACGTCTCCCTTCCACCACCCCATATCATGATTAGACTAACACCCCCAGGCCTCCCTCGACAAAGCAAAAGCCTGGGTCAAAGAACTCCAACGCCAAGCCAACGAAAACATCATCATCGCCCTCGCGGGAAACAAACTCGATCTCGTGACCGAATCCCCCGACAAGCGCGCCATCTCCACCGCCGACGCCGAGCAATACGCCCGCGAAGCCGGCCTCCTCTTCTTCGAGACGTCGGCCAAGACAAGCGAGAACGTCAAGGAGCTCTTCACGGCTATCGCGAAGAAACTGCCTATCGACCAGGCCGGACCCAGGAACCTGAGACCGGGCCAGCAACGACAGGGCGTTAACCTCAGGCCTGAGGCTAATCAGACTCAGGGGCCTGGTGGGTGCAACTGCTAGGGTTTTGGGGGATGGGGAATTTGGTTGTTTGGTATATGGCGAGGAAGCAAAGAAGACTGCGGATGTGAGGAGATAAGAGGCGATGCGATGTGACTTGGGATGGGTCCATGCTATGTCTGGGTGTCCAGTGTAGCCTTTCTTCGTACGTCTCTCAGTATGTTCATTGTGGGACATTGGTGTGGGCTTATCTGGAGTAAAGGGTTTGTGTTTGATCGCTCGAAGTCCATATTGCTTTGTTCACTATCAAGAGAAGATATTTTGGGGCTAACCTGCACCGACCTTTTTTAATTAATGAATTTCGATCAAGTATATCTGCCCTCGACACGTCCATCGTTCACATCAGTCAGGTCATTGTTGTCGAGTATACCATAAACCCCGGGGACGGCACTCAGGGTAGGCGCCGGCACATGAGGGTCCTTTGCACCAAGGCACCTCAGTATCAAAACTTCCCAAGAGCCATGGTATGAAATCAAAAGCCTCCAAGGTATTCTCCTGAGGTTTCAGAAACTGGTCAATCCATCCGCAGCATTCGCCTTCATATGCTGCCGTGAAAGCGGCTTTGCTGAGAAGAAGAAGTGCTCGTAGAATGGGTATGTGGTCCTTGTTCCTTCGGTGTCTCTGGGGAAGAGCGATTTATTGCATGACTGATTCAAGGTGCGTCGTGTCTAGATTCACAGAGTGAAGATATTGTTGGATCGTTGGACTGCGTCGTACGCTGTTTGGTTGCGCCTGTCATGTCGTTGGACTAGTCCGGGAATAGATTAGTGTCAGGGCAACGCATGACTGCATCCATGGAAGGTAACACCGAAGACCGCGCCATCACTGCACTGCACGGTATATGGACCTTACGGAAGGAACTATTTGCACATGATCTCTCCATTTTAACTACTGCGCTCGCTGCGCAATCAATACAGTCGCGCTGCAAGAACAGGCGGGCAAATACATACCCGCATCCACCACGCATTCTTCGGCCACCACCTCGTTCCCACCTCCTCCTACCACGAACCCCACACCAATCCTTCACCTATCTATACCTCCAAACCACTCCTGAACTATGCGCCTATCCTTCCAAAACTCCTCCTGCTGCGCATAAGATGCCTGGGCCGATTCGATCAAGGTCTTGACAAGTGCTGTTACATCGTCCTTGTGATACCATTTTACGAGTAGGTTCTCTACCTGAGATAATGTTGAATAGTAAGCGGTGCGGGCTTCTTCGATGGTAGCGAAGGATATGTGGCCGATTGGGGGGTAGTCTTTGGTAGGGGGGTTGTTAGATAAGAAGGGGGATAAGAATACGGAGGAGTTGGAGGAGGGGTGTGAGGAGTGTGAGGGGTCTGGGGAGCGTGAGGGGTCTGAGAAGTCTAAGGAGTCATCGTCATCATCGATATCTTCCCCACCATCCTCATTCTCATCATCCTCCAACTCTTCGTCATCCTCTTCATCGTCGATATCTTCCCAATCATTCTCATCGTCGACATACTCCAACTCCTCGTCATCATCGCCGACATCCTCCCATTCATCCTCATCATCAGCTTCAAGCTCTTGTGCTAACGATTGTACGGCTTCATGCAACATGCCCATCAACTCTCGCAACCTCTCCTCGCTTTCAAGTGCTCTATTGGCCAAATCTCGATCCTTGAAAGCGCCACCACCTACAGAAGGAACCTTTGCGTGTGCTGTCGCTGTGACTGGGGACATGTTGTGAAAGGATTGCGGGGATGTTGCTTGATGAGGTGGGGCATCTGTAGTTTCAAGTTTTCCCTTGACCGAATTTCGAGCCTTTAGAGCGCCACCACATTTAAAAGGACGCTTCACGTGTGCTGTGGCTGTAGACATGTTGTGAAAGGATTGTGGGTCTGTTGTTTGGTGAAGTAGCGGGATTGCGCGCTGTTGTGTTGAGCTTTTGTTGTTACTAGTAGTGAAGTATTGAAATACGCCTATAGAATGATGGTGTTTTGAACGCTGTGAAGTTACTATACGAGTATCGTGATTTGATAGTAGATGTACAGTAGGTGTTGTGTGCTGTACGAGAGATATCTGGCTAATGCATACAATGTAAAAGTTGTCCTTGTATTATTCAACACAGATGGTTGTAACATTCGAAGAAGCCGATTAACAGACAATGCAGCCGTTAGGGGGGTTCTTTGAATGTTACAACCGCCTATCGAGATGTTCTTCGACAGTTTAATACCGTGCGAAGTACCCAGCCCTTCTTGGCTTGCGATATTGAAGAAGTGGGCTGTTTACATATGGAAATCCCCCACAAAAACTATTGTGAGGGATTTCCATACGTGAACAGCCCACTCCAACAACATCTCAAGCCAACACAACCCCCATCCCGTTACCACCCCCCTAAGCCAACCCCGTACCAACACTCCACGTCGCATCCGCATTAAAGCTCGCCGCAGCATCGAAGTCATGAACACCACCGTTACTAGCAATGTTTCCAATGTTATTATAATGACGAATATACCTCGTCGGATACCCCCACGCCCTTATCGAACTTCCCGATCCCGAGAAACCCGACTGAGGACAGAACGTCGCATCCTCCTTAAACGCCTTGGACCCATCATTCGCCTGCAGCTGCAACACGAAGTTGAAATGGCGGATGTAACTCCCAGCCGTGTCCTTGGACTCGAAAGAGAAACAAGCACTGTTCGCCAGTCCGGCGCGTACAGTCCAGCTAGCTTGCCTCTTAAGCAGTGCGGTGCTGGAGGAAGACACGACTTGTGTGTTTACAGTTGAGCCGGTGTGTGCGAGGTAGCGATCCGTGTATCCAGCAGTCGTGGCGCGGAATGAGATTGATGATCCGACTGTGTAGCCGGGTCCGCTGGTCAGACTCGTAGTCGCGTATTTCGCCGCAACGATGTTGGCTTGCACAGCGTTCTCCGTCGCATCACTCGGATACCCAGTCGTCATCACACCTTCATAAAACGTCCCTTGCGCTCCATTGCTGTTGTCGCCGCCGATACCCAGAATTATGGCGCCTTCTTTGCTCATGGGATTGTAGCCTGAGGCGCTGGGTCGCGCGCCGTTGTAGTACGTCGACAAGCCGCCGGAAACGGCGTTTCCGCCGCGGAGCGCCCATTTGTTTGGTCCGCCCTTGAGGACGGTGGTGAGGAAGCGGTCTGTGAGGGTAGGGTCCGCTGGGTTGTTTTTGGGCGACATGCCGGAGAAGAGGCCGTTTTCCAGGTCGGCCATTAGCCAGGGGCCGGAGCCGGCGCCTGTGCCCCAAATTGTGTTGGTTCCGAAGTAGATAGCTTCCATGTGGCCGTTTCCTGTGGGGGTTGTTAGTGAGATGATTGATAGCAAGGTGTGGGCGTCTGCGTACCGGTGTCGAGGTTGTTGGTCTCGGCGTTGCCATAATCGAAGCAGCATGCGTCGTTGAAATGCGTGCCATCGAGCACAGCGTACATGCCCTCTGCTGCATCACCAGTGGCTGAACCGCTGACCTTGTTGTTGCGGTATCCAGTACCCGGTGAGATGAAGACACCATATGCCTTCTTTCCATTCAGCGTGACTGGCGCGCCGATAGCCCCAGCCAGGTTGTCGTAGCCATTAGCTTCCGGACCATTGAAGCCTCCTGGAGGAGCTTGAGTGAGGTGGTTACCACGACCGGATTGATCGTAGATAATGGTGATGAGACATGTGGTGTTGGCACAGAACTTGTCTTGAGTCGCGGCATTGGCTACACCACCGGCAGATAGAGGTGCGACGTTGGTGGTAGCGCCATCGGAGCCGCGCTTGATCTGGTAGAGGGAACCGCTGAAGGAATTGTAAAGCGCGCGAGTAGTGCTGTGAGCGGCGATACAAGGCGTGTTTCCCGACGCGTAAATATCGCAAGGTCCAGCGGCTACAAAAGAGCCTGTAGCCACAAGGCCAAGAGCGGCGATCTTGGATGGTGAAGGCATGACTGGCTGCTACTATTATTACCACGAGAGAAGAACCGGATGATCGTCTGGATCAACCAGAGAATTGGTACATCGCCCACATTTAAACAAATGTCTCTGCAGCCTCGTTCTTACTGTATCAATATACATAGTTCATATTTGCGTCCGTGGACTAGATGAGAAAGGCAGTTGGAAATGCACGGAGTACAATTTCTCCTCCAACAGCGAGGAGGCCTGTACTTCTATCAGCCTAAGGACGTCACGAGGTTGCAACTCCAGGTCCTATGGCGCCTGCCCTCCCCGTATTTTGGCTGTGTAGATTGCGGGGGAGACCAGGGTATAAGGCTGTAGCTCCGGAAGATATAAGCTTTGCCGAGGATCACCCACCTGACGAGGCACTTACCACCCCAACACCACCCACCTTCCATCAACACATCACGATTCATCCTCTCTGCTTTCTTTGTTGACGCAACAGAATCCACCATCCTCCCCTCCACCGCCCCTCCGCCTCCCCCACCCACCCTATGGACAAGGTCTAAGGCTGTAGTGCCGGAAGAAATAAGCTTTGCCGAGGAACATCAGTCGGATGACAAGACCTGGGCTAGCGTTTCCAAGAGCCGTCGGAGTCCACGCCGTTACGCCGCATACACGTGAGAACGTATCCGTAACTTTCCATTCCAGGCAGTGTGATACTTTTACAGTTCTTCTCGCTCCACCGACACGAAGTGCGAAAGTTGGTCTCCGCCTCGGGATTCGCATCCGATAGCGTTCTAGATGTGATCGTCCTTTTGTGACGGTGCCGACAGGTATGCGTGTGACGTACAAACCTTGAATCGTCGTTTTGAAACACGAAGTGAGCCAACTCATGCAGTTTGAAGCTCGATGGTGTCAATAGTATCACGGCGAAGGTTTGCAGGGCCAGATTTACCGCTTACGGCGTGCTTATGGACGGCGCTTTCGCAGTTGGGTGGTTGGAGTTCGTTCAATAGTCTGGCCGATGTTCGCCGGGTGAGCTCAAGGGCTGCGATTCAAGGGTACCGTGGACTGGATGAAGATGGCGCAGAACGCCTTCTCTCACGAATAGAGGGTGCGAAGTTGTTGAGCTGGATCGTTGAAATTCCTGTGCGCGAAGCTAAGAGCTGTCATACTGCTGACATGTTAGCCTTCCGTCATTCGGATGCACAAGTTGAGCGTGTGGACGTAGTGGCGCGTCGCACTGAGATTATTGATGTATTCGGCGTCCTGGCCGTCTGTATTCTGAGATGTCTATTTTTGTACCCTTGATAGAGTCGTCGAACGTGGTATCATATGCTAAAGCGATGCAGAAAAGTCCACCAAGATGTAAGCGCCCCCAATATGCCAGTCGTAACTTTATGGTTCCCGCTTGCGCGTACATGATGCACGACGTGAGATCTTTGATGTCGGTTCGAGGACGTTGTCGCTATCCGTATTGATCGCGCAAGTCGGGTCGTGGCGTCACCGGTCGTGTCCGCTGGATCGCGGTGCCAACGGTGGTAATGGCATGTGGTTCTCATGGAGGTCACCGTGTGTCTCGTACCGCGCCGGACGTTGCTTCATCCGCTCGACTTGCAGTTCCACTTCGCTGGTCAAAGTGATGGTCATGTCGGTGTCCGTGGTCATATTTCCATTGTTGCTTTTCGGGCGGACCTTGCCCCACAGGCGGGACATTCCCGTTTTGGGAGCTTCCTCCTCTTCCAAAATAGCTTCCTGGCTCCCTCGCTCCAAATCTTGCTCTGTGTCCGCCCAATGCTTCATCTCATAGCTGTTGCCCTTGTCGTTTGCGAGTTCTGGCGCATTGCGCGGTGCTGTGGATTTCCGGTTCGTGGAGGAATGCGACGCTGATGCGTTGGCGGTTAGCGTCTTTGATGAGTGCGCGCTCTTCTTGAAGGATATGCCACCTGAGAAGGATTGCGATAGACTGAAGGGGATCTTCGCGAGGAGAGGTTTTAGTACTGGAGCCGAGGCGCATATCTGTTGCCAGTAAGCATGGTATCACTGATTAGCAGTCGTGCGTGATAACTTACTACACCCAAGTCTATCTCGACAGCGGCCGCAATCCACAGTGGATATGCGTACCAGGTTTGATCGTACTCGTTGTTGAAGAGACTCCGATAGATGAACCAGGTACGCACAATACCAGCAGCAGAGACAATCAGCCCCATACCGAATAGCGCGGCGACAGCCATGCGCTCACGCAGACGCATGTGAAGCTGGGATCAGTTAGTAGTGTTTTGCCTTGCGTATGGGATTGAGCCAACTCACGCCCATGACCAAAGGTATTGGTGTTAGGGTAGTAAGAAAATCCGCGACACAGTTGATAATTCCGCAAATGAGAGTCGCAGTTCCCTCGTCCATGCAAGTGTCTGCCGGTGCGCCAATGGTCCAATAGTTCTTAATGGGTGTGCAGAAGAAGATGGCGATGAAGGGAAACGATATCAAGATGCCGAGTGTGTAGGCAACATTGACATGAACCGCCCACTTGAACCATCTAAGCGAATTAGCAAGGCTATCATAATGCGACAGCAACGCCAAAAGTACTCACGTCTTCCCCGAGTCTGTAACCAATCGGTAGTAGAAGCAATGCAGAGAGAGTCTCGTGAAGCTCGCGGCCGCTGTGAAGACGACCTTGGCTGTCATGGCGATTTTGTAGGCCGGAACGAACATGTGAAAGGGTATATCCCAAACATGTCTATAGTGGTTTGATGATTAGCTGTATGCTATGCGAATGGGGATCGGGTTATTTACCTATCCCATCCATATCGGAGGTTTGCCAGGAGAACGACAGCAGTGAGACCGCACGTGAAGAGCAGCGCAAAGAGGATGAAGACATCGTCAATACCGAACCACCTCTTGATCACTATACGGGTGTATAACCGCGCAATCACAACGAGGATGGTTAGTGCGATGAGGATGCTGTTGACGATGAGGAGGGCAGGGCCGCGCGTTTCCGGGTCAATGTAATTTGGAGTCGGCCAACCCAACAGGACATCCACCGGAGGCAGCTGCATACTGGATTATCGTGGGCCTGCCCGGGGAAGTATGCGAGACATGTGGGCGTGGAGGATTGACGAGCTGCGGATAGACGGGTCAGGTCAAAGAAACGAGATCGAGAGCTTGCCACTAGGATAGGGTCTCGAGGGTTATGTTCAGTGAAGAGTGGGGCTGCGCACATGGCCGTTAGCTCCATCCATGTCATGAAGCGCAATGGCGCGCTGACTACCGTCACGACGCTGGTGTCGCATTGGCTTCGAAGCTCGGCTTGTACACGGACCGTACGCAAGGCACGATAATCGTGGCGCATCAGCGGGGTCTTGCATGCGGCGCACGAACTCTCCGTGAAGGGTGGAACCCAAAATCGCGACAAAAGGTTCTGCCAACCGCACGATCCGGGCAGCAAAGACGAACCTTTGGACGGGTTCGCTCCAGCATGATCCGCCCAGGCATTTCGAGTGCATCCCAATGGCCTCGGAGATAATTCCATTCTGCCCATCCGGTCGGTAGCAAAGATGGTTCTTGGTTGGACGCTGGCTGACGGAACACCAATTTCCGCCTCGCCGGCAGTACAAACATGCCGCGACGACAACAAGTATGGCAGTCCCTTGCACAAGAACACGGTCATGTCTCAGGTCACAGGGACCTCCAATGGACGAGTCGTGCCACCTGTAGCTACGGGAGCTATGTCTTGGCCGAGTTGGAGACTCCCGGGAGACACCAACCAGTATTGTCCGGCAATAACGGGGGGCTGTTTAAATCGTCGAAACTTTCTAGACCCTGAAACCATGTGTTGAATGCAGCAATCGACGCGAAACATGGTGTTGATCCAAGGGTTCGTAGTTGTGGAGGGAAGGTCTGCCTGTGCGTGCGGCCAGGTCAGATCAGGCATCCCACGCTAGCGCCGACCGCACGGAGCCTAGCGTCGGATCTTTGTCACCCTGCAGCGATCCATTGCTGTTCCGCCCCACCCGTATCCTCCATCGTCGAACTCAAAACTACGGGGGCATTTCGATCTAATTATGTTGCGAAGGAATCACAAACGACTGTGCCGCTTGAACATCGGCACCCGACAAATGCCTACGATTATCTCCGAGGACGCCGGCATCACGGATATCACGGACCCGTTGACAGCGGTGTGGCTGTTGCACGCTGGCGTGCAGTGTTCACAGTTCAACAAACCTTCGTAAAGTCGGACGTGCAGTTCTCGCGGCATTGGGTGCGGTCATATAGCGCCGACACCAGGGTACTGGAGCTTACGCGTGCCGATGTATTTTGCAGAACTCATCTGCTACCCACTCTTTGATCAATGGCTGCGGCGTGGGTATCACTAGGGTATGTACCGACTCGTTCACGTATGACGCCTACATGCTCGAACGATGAATCCTTCGCTCCATCGGTTCCAAAAGCCACACCGCTGGATCCATGTGCGATATCCTCCGCATACATAGGACCATGTTCGCGCCCAGGCGCCTGACTCGATATGAGGCTGATACGCCCTCCTTTGCGCTGCCGGGACACGGCTGCCACGAGGCTGGCAGTGGCTTGCACCTAATTCCATAGCGCGCGCAATGCACGAGCACATCGGCGTGCTCTCGAGACGAGGTTTGGCGTTGCTTGGATTCGATGCCCGGGCATATGTCTCTTTTTGTGTCGATTCTCGCATTGAAACATTCTCTTTTCGCTTCAGATGCTGATGTCGCAGTAAATACCCACAGTATATCTGCAGCAACGGGACGTATCTCGACAATTTCGTCTGCAGGATCGATCCGCCCCAGGAACATGATTCGGGTGCGGCTCCGTTCGACCGTCATTGGCCGAGCCCGCCCCCAGAAAAGCGCGCTGCCCCCAGGAAACAAGGCGTGCAACATCGTGCGCAGTCAGCATTTACGCCTCCGAACCATTGCCCAACTACGAGGCTTCTACGCTCAACGCCAGAATCATGCCATGTCCTCATTTGGCCTCCTGCTGTCAAGCCCGCGTCTCCCGCCACATGTGGGTTGTCGCCATTGTTTACCTCAAGCCGCATCGGGCCTTCTGCCGCACAGTTTTTGCTAGGTTGTTCCTAGTTATACAACATGAACTAGGACTCAGGCACATACTCGCCCACGACCCTCTGCCGTCCCAATACCGGGTGAAGACTACGGTTACTTGCAGGCGACCCGCCGTTGTGGATACTGGATGCAACCAAGGGGTGTTCATTCATATTCATTGTGGGTTCGGGAATCTTTGACGAAACTGTCTCAGGGACTCAAACATGTATCGCGGTCATTGCGATGGGGACGAAGGCATGTCGGGTGGGCAAGCTGGTTACATGATGTTGCACGCAGAAGAGCAGTATCACCGCAGGTGAATGTCGGCATGCAGGTAACTATAGCGAGACACTATTGAGTTGCCTTACTACTACATTTTGAATGCCGGCCCAATAGGCACATAGCATGCAAGCCACATGTCGGCTTGTAGTCATGTTAGTGTATAAATGACAGGATGGCACAACCCTCGTTGATACTCCACGCGACACGTCCATCGAACCATTCCAATCGCTGACCAATGCTTACAAGTCTCGTGACTTCTCCAGGTACCCACGGTGATCTCCCGACGAATACACCTCTCTTCCTACGGCAGTCACACAACGACATGCAACTGAACAGGTCCGCAGCCTACATGAACATAGAACCCCACAAAGTAGGCGATTGAACGTCAACGTAGGCTCCAGGGTGTTCACTATTTTCATGGAATGAGGTGCCAGTTACGCGACAGGATGCGCGACAGATTAGGCCCATGACATCGTCGCATTCGCGAACTCAGCACTCAGATCCCTCGCACGAGGAGGATTGAAGTCGGAGGAAGGGTCACCGTAATCATGCTTGGTCTTCTGCTTGCACTTCTTGAACGGGTGCTTCAAGCTGCCGGGAATCGGCGGATCACCTGGTTTGCGGAGAGCGTCGAGTTCCGAATGCCAATCGACATCATTATCGCCTTTGCAATGGCCTTCGTTGTGGCAAAGGTTCTCCCAATCTTCCGAGAACATGAGACCGCTTCGAACCAGGAAGTTGAAGGTCTGGTCCTGGTAAGGATTGTATGTGTTGTCGTTCCATCCGAACTCGCCGACCATGCAAGGGAAGTTCCGACCGTGTGTGGACCAGACGCTGGAAATGGCTTCGCCGCGGGGATTGCGGGCGATCGCTAACGTGTAGGCGCCCATGAGGTTGACTTGGCCGTTGCCCGCGTTCATCGCCTGTCCTAGAGCCGACTGGACCGTCTGGAAGTCCGCAGTTTGTAGAGCGTCATACAGATTGTGCTCATGAACCGCAAGGGATGAGCGGACGACATCCTTCAAGGTAGCTCCGTAGACGTCGGAGTTCTGTCCTTCGAAGAAGTTTCGATATCCTGTGGGGCCATGGATCAACGCTTTGTGGTTTTTACCAGGGTCGTTCTCCTGCGAGATATCCAAGGCGTATATCCAGTATGAGTGATCCGGACGTTCCGGCAGGCACACTCGGTTCTCGGTCGGTCCACGAATGTCTACCTCACAGGCACCTGTAGGGACGTCAGCATCAACGATATAGGGCCGTTCCCATTGCCACAATGCGTTGATCACAGCATGCTTGAAGACCTTCTCGGACATCCTCATGATATCCTCTTGGATATTGCCATCTCTTCTGAAGAAGTCTTGACCCTGCATGAGACCGAGCAGGTCTTGGCCATGGTTGTTCTTGTCCCCTTCCATGAGCTGCTTCGACTCATGTGCAATGCTGATCATACTGTGATGGCGAAAGTCGTTTAGGGATGAGCGTATAACATCCTCGATATTGTCAGGAAGCTTCTCAGGGTCAGCTCGAGCGGTGTTGATTGTGCCGACGACGGAGATGTAGGTAGACGCGGCCATGTTAACCATCGAAGGTGCGGCAGTCTTGTCGAGTCCAATGAAACCTGGGATAGCTAGTGCCCCACCAGCCATCATCAGTAGAGCGGAGACGGCGGTCATGCCGAGCTTCTCCATCCTCCTGTGGTCATTCTTCTCCTGTTGAATTTGCGTCGAGATGCGTGCTGCAGCGCTGTATCTCGCCACAAGTGAAGGCACTTGTCCATCCGCATACAATGCACCTTCCTGTAAGCCTTCGCGAAGGCTCTTCAACAGGTGGTCCACACCGGCGATCTGTTCGAAGAGGAAGTAAGCCATCTGCTTATCGTGTTGCGATAGCGAGGGACTGAGAGCTTGGCAAGAGAAGCTGCATCCTCCAACGGTGTCGCAATAGGAGGCACTTGGCGCTACATTGGGCGCAAGCTTGTCGCGAAGATAGTGCGGGAACGAGTTGTAGCCTGGGTCGTTCAGGTAGCCGGTCCAGTACGCAGCGGCAAATACCTTGATGTTTGGTAGGTTCTGCCTCCAGGTCTCGGCGGTGGGGGTGACAAGGCCACAGCTGTCCGAAGAATATGAAGGCGCTGAGACATATCCGCCGGGGCCCTGCGTTGGTGGTGGTTTCCGGGGATCGACGTTGACGGGAGCGCCGGTGGCGAAGGCCACAAGACAGAACAAGATTCTGGTGATGAGCATCGTGAACAACATCTTGATAGTTAGTGTCTCTGTGAAAAGAGTTGTGGTAGTAGCAGTACTTACTGTTGTAGTGGTGGTAGTAGTTGAAGTTGGTGTAGTTGGTGTTGTCAAAGTTGAAGTTTTTGTAGTTGAAGCTGTAGTTGAAATTGTAGTAGTGGTAGCTGTCGTTGTACTAGTGGTGATACTGTATCTTCAGAAGTGTTAAAGTGTGCACGATATCCGGCATGTTATAAACGAAATCCGACGGCAGTGCGGTGATGAGATTTTCGCCTCGAAATGCGGCGAATTCTCTCAACCATGGTTGTCACCTATTCCAAGTCTACCAGCTGAGTTGCATTAGGCCTTAACATCCAGCGATGTTCCGTAGTTAGCATGAATAAAGTTGGAGGTGTGGGGGAAAAGGGAGTGAACCAGAGTTCAGATCTCAGCGCACCGGCCACCCACATCTAGAATGACAATTAATAGCTTTGATTATGGTCTATAGCCGCTCTCAACGGGGCGGGTAATAATAACTCTGAAAATGCGACCGCATTCCAGCGTATCGCGTGCAATGGATATCCTGTGCTGAACTCTGGGTGTCTGAGAACCGAAAGAAGAAGCTTGTTGGGATTGCTGGGTGCGCCGCATCGCGAGAGAAGCTTGGTATCGCAGAAGTAAGGTATCTCAGGTTGCGACTAGCTAGTATCCGAGTGGCGATCCAGAGTGATCTGATACCGTAACGCGAGTTGCCCTTGGTGGTGCGCAATCGCGAAGTTCGGTGGTGCGTCATCGCCGTGTTTGGCTTAGTGCATCTTAGTCATCTTCAATCCGCCGAGCTGCCGATGGCGCATGTGGCCTCCTTCAACGCGACACCACCTGGGCAGCATCACCACTTTGCACGACAGCGTCATCAACAATGGATATAGTCTACGATGCGGAGTCTTTTCATATGCGATAATTTATTCTCTTCTCCTTCTCCACACCGAACGCTCGGACATGCACGTGAGAAGTGTCTCATCGCGCACGCGAGCAGCGCCCCTTACTGACAGCGATGTTCCACCACGATACTACTACCGAAGTTCACAGGCCTGATACGATAATTTTCTCCATCTACTTCAAAGGTAGCAGTCGCTGTATCAATAACCGTCAGGAGCGTATTGCTTATCCCCTCGGCTACGCAGTCCACGTTGGCCGCGCGATACGAGCAACCCGGGGGAATGGATATCGTACCAATGAAGCCATCCTTGGAACCCTCCCACATCGCAAGGCGCATTCTGTCACAGACCCCGGTAATCGAAGAGATTGAACAGCTCTCCTCAAGCTCCATACTTAGACCCTCGGACGTGTGTATTATCGTGCGATCCCCACGAAAGGCGACGGAGGTTACGAAGTAGATCGGCAAAGAACAACCGCGCTCCAGGAAGACCTTCACCTGCACATCGGGAGCGGCCTCGGTCGCACATCGCACTGGTGCGAATGTCCTAGCTTCTTGGAAGAACGTGGTGGCCGCCTCGTCGCTCCACCTAGAGATGCGTGCCTCCGGCTTCAGCACATCGTACACGCGCACGTGCCGTTGGACATAACTCGGAATTTCGCTGGTTCGCAGGCTACGGAGTATGCTCACATCCCACACCGTTATACACATGTTGATTTCGGGCAGCAGCATCCGCATATCCTGGATCGCCTTCGTTGTCTTGATTTCGGCGTTCATTCGAGCCAGCCGCTCCCGTTCAGCGTCGAGTAGAAGTCCAACTGTTCGGCAAATCTCTGGCTCTACGAAGCACTCGTCGAACACTTGTTCAAGGAATGCATGCGTTTTGCTTGCCTTGCTCTTATCCATTAAGAGCAAGAGTTCGTACGCCAATGACAGTACAGTAACCAGCAGGAACACGTACTCTGCATCCCCCTGACACATTCCGAGGTCCTCCTCGATCTCAAACGTCGCGATCATCGGCCTGAGAACGCGCCGATCCCAGTCTGTTCCGGGACCGAAACCGTCAGTCGACACGATCGTGGCGATCTCCTGTTGGACACGTTCGACTATCCTCTCGCTGAGGCTTCCGAGAACCGAGGGACTGATATCTGGTTTTTGCGGATAAGACTTTTCGATCAAGGTGCTGTGTATACCCCGAAGGATGGCCAAATGGCTGAAGGGTGTGTTCTCGTGAGGGACCGCGGCGATGGACGTGGTTGTGGATGAGGTTGATTGCATCGGCAGGCTCGATAAGGTCGATACGTCCGATAAGCTTCGTACTTTCAACCAGCTTGCTACTCGCGAACGGCTATCACCCCTAATGCTTGAGGTCGGGGTCGATCGCGTCGACAAGCTCGATACAATCGATAAGCTTCGTACTCCTAGCCAGCTTGCTACTGTTGACCGGCTGTCACCCATGATGCTTGAGATGCGGTCGAAGCGGTCTTCTGCGCTACCTTACAAGCTGTCTTGTAGCCCGCGGCTAGCTTAGCCATGTCTTCGCGATGAAAGTCACGTTCCAGTCGTGAGACATCTGTCTCAAGTCTTGCTCAGACAATGTCCACAGAGGTTTCAGCACACGATTGCTTTCAACATTACAGCGCGAAGTCGACTAGTCGCCTTGAACCAATGTAGGTATACTCAGGATTGATTCGCTAACTTTGGGAGCGCAAGGTCAACCGCCGACGTTCCCAACGGTCCCAAACAGATCGCATAAGGCTCCGACCCTACCCAGTACTCATTGTCCGCATCATGCTGCATACATCATCCCAGAAGTTATCCTATATCACGCATTCTTCATCCTCTTCTGCTTCGTCTGCCAACGCGAAGAATCCGAGCCCTCGATAAGCCTCGACGATACTCATCGTCTCTTCCTCTTCCCAGTCCCGAAACCGGTCAAGTACAACCAATACAGCAGAATCGACCCATCCTCTCTTCCTGTTGGATTTTGCGATTGCCCTTAAGATCGTACGCACTGCAACGTATTCTCCTGGCCCGCCAGGATACAACAATTTTTCTTCCTCGAGCGACGTTCCCCTTTGGCTCTTATCGGAAGATTGCGCGGCCGTACGTAGTGAGTCTTTGTAGCAAGGAAATGCTTGCTGGAAAATGTCTGCCCATGCAAGACCTGTTGACAACCTTCCAGTCGCACCTTCTCGTAACTTGCGAAGTATCACGAACAGCTTTTCGACGATTTCGTAAAGCGTGTCCGTCAAGCCAGTAGTCTTTAACAAATGTTCCATGAGATATATTGCCTCCCATTTCTCCTCTGCCCAGTTGTCTGAGAGAGCAGGATCAAGACACTGTAGAGCGAAATCTCTTTTCGGTTTAGGGCGTTGGCAAAGAGCCATGCGACAGTTAGGGCATGTAGCTTCGTCACTGGGACCGTCCCTCAGCCAATGGTCGAGACAGTCGCGGTGGAAATTGTGGCCGCAGGGGGTCGCGACGACGTCTGGCGCCACGTCGCTCGAAGCCTCGCGATATGAGATGGCGCAGATGGGGCACTCATCGTCGATATTGTTGGGTGTGGAGGCAGTGAGACTGGTAGTGTAAAATGTGTAGAGAGTTGGTATGGCCATGGTGGATACCTGTGAAGTTGCGAGTGGGCTTGGATGGCGAATTGGATTGCGGCTTGAACAGGAGATGGATGGTCTCGAAAGAAGTGTGTGCTGAAGGCTCGTTTTATACGGAATCCCGCAGAGGCTCTGTGGGATCTGAGCGAGAAAAGATGGTGCGTATCCATGGTTCGCGACCAAATACTAGGCCAACCAGCGGCCTGAGAAACGAATGCCTCGTCAATAACATCCTGCTTACTGGCGGCCAAGACAATGAATAGGGATACGCCTATTATTCGTGGCTGAAGCATTGTCAACCCCACACACCACGACTACGCCTTGCGGTGAAGGCGAGCGTCACCCAATCGGGCAACCCTGGTTTCTCCGCAAGCGGACCCTGACCCAGTCCACCAACTTGCTTCCTCTTCACTACTACACCCACACTCAACACCAAAGAACTCACACCCACCAACCCGCACCATGGCTTTACCCACCCGCACCGAGTTCTATCGCGACCATCTGGCGCCTTGTCGCATTCTCCCAGGCACACCCAAGTTTGCAGACATCGGTATCTGCGTCGTCTGCCAAGAGGACTTCAACGATGCGTCATATGACATGGTCGCCGTCAAAAGCTGCTCCCACGTCTTCCACCGCAAATGCATCATCCAATGGACGGAGACCTGGGGCTCACCCCGCGACAAATGCCCTTCGTGTCGCGAGGCAATGTACCAGTACACGCCAATGACGACCCATGAGATCCAGGCCATGCAAGAAGCGCAAGCAATCCAAGACGCTGAGAGCCGGCTATCAGAATTGGGCCCGTACGCTGCAGCGAGAGAAGCTGAGCGCCTCTGGTTCGCGTCCATGGGAGTGTCGGTCGAAGATCTCCCCGCCTTTGACGACATGACTGAACCGACACACTTTTCTGATGATGACGGCGAAGAGATTGCGACGTCATGGGACATGGACGTCAATCCGAATATGTCGCTGCAAGTCCCGTCTTTGGTGGGCTTTGGGAGCGCATCTCCACCATACTCTCCAACGTTTCCAATGTACTCCGACGCATCGCTAGGAGAATCGCCCGCATCAACAAGATACTCTCCCCCCTCTCCGCGATTCCCTCCCACATGGCCAATATACGCTCAGGCAACGCCATTGTATTCCCCGACGGTCCCGATATACTCCGCTACATCGCTTGAGGTGTCTCCGACATCGCCAGTATACCAACCGTCGTTGCCGGACGCACGAAACCAAGGGGGTCACACAAACCCGGAGCAGTCGGCGCAACTGGAGAGGATGCGTCGCGTCATATCCAGCGAGTTCACCATAGCGAGAGAGATCTCCAACGTCGCTGTCGTCCGCACAGTTCATTCCTCGTTGCCGAACTCATACCTTGCGACAATTTCCAATGCCAACAGCGAGTACCGGAGTGAGGCGGCAGTGCATGGCGCAATTGGATACGTCCTGGTAGGCAGGACGGCTTTATTTTACTATTGATCGGAGAGCGCAATTGGGAAGGAACGGTTTGGTAGCAGACGTCACCTCGATCTGAAGTCTTTATCATTGGAAGAGGGGGCGTCACTGAATACGTCGTCCGGGCAGGTAGAGACTACAATATAGCAACACACATCTCATCATACTCACATGTATTCCCCTTTCGTTCTCGTTATTTTGCGCTATAATGCGGCAGTACTTGGATCGAAGGCCTCCTTTCACTCGTACTACAATCCAATCACTGCACAGCCATTGCGTCATCCAATGCTATTGTTCCTGAACAGCTCGACCCACCGCATTCACTTTCGCATACTAACACAATATACCTGTTCGCGACAATAGCAGTCTTTTCCACTCAATAAAGCTCAAGCCAGGTCCGGACCTACATCATCTGCTTCTCGTCATCGCTGTCTCCTCAACTCTCATCCCCTCAATCCAGCCTGCGACATCGCAATATCTATACGCCCTATATCTGCACTTACGGAAATCCGATATCTAGACGCACTGTATTTGCATCTCATTACCCAATACACTTTCAGCGTATCTACACCGCAGCTTCCGAAGATGTCGCCATCTAACCCCCTCGTACCTACCACCTCCGTCAGTGTGGATGCTCCGCGTTCGCGCCCAACTTCGCTGGACGAAGTAGCACCAATGACGCCCCGCCGTCGGTATTCCAACGCCTCCGACAGCAGCAATGACGACGATCTAGATGATCTATTCGAGGACGAGACTACCTGGGGCCTCAGCTTACCGCCTATCGTGAGTCCATCTGCGCTTGCTCCCATCAGCACTTCTGACTCAGTTTCGCAGCCTAAGTCCTCACCCATCTCCTCACCTGACGACACCCATGTCGCTGTTCCTCAGAAGCGCAAACGCGATTCTGCTACCACCGACGACGACGCCTCCGACGACGCCTCCGACGACTCTGACGACTCTCCGCTATCCAAGAAGGCCAGAAGCGCCGATGAAGAGACAGACAAGAAGAACACGGGCAAAGAATCCGAAGCCACTCGACGATACCGCACCCTCGCCACCGCCGCATCATTGAAGCCATCTACCAACAACGCGAACAAATTCCTCGATAGCATGAGGAAGCAGCGCTCTATTCCCACACCACGCTACGTCCCAACTGGCGCCGAGCGCCGCTCCGAAGTCAACGAGCTCGCAGCCAAGCACGTCCAGCACGTCGCCCCGGCCATGCTCGCCAACAACAACAGCAATCGCGACGTCGGCGGCGCGATGACCAAGTTCGACTGGGCCGAGAAAAATCGGGAGATCAAGCCAGACCAAATCAAGACGCCTGCTTACGCACTGCAGAAATGGGTCGACGCGGACGATGAACACATAACCTGGTTCGTCATTCCCGCTTCACACAAATACATCAACACGGGTAGCACAATGGTGCCCATCGCGGACATCGTCGACAAATCGATCATGTACCCAGAGTGGACGTTTGTGGAGGAGGTTTTGGGGCCGCATTGGAAGACGGGGGTGGCGGTGGTTAAGGCGGTCAAGGTCAAGTATGAGAAGCTGACGGATGAGCAGAGTCTTGAGAGGATGGAGGTTATGGTTAAGCAGAAGGAGGATGAGGTTAGGCAGGCGAGGAAGGATGAGGCGGCGAGGAGGAGGATGGAGAAGAGGGAGGAGAGGGCGAGGGCGCGAGATGAGGAGGATGTGTAGGGGGTTGAGGGGGTTGAAGCTGGGGTGGAGTTGGGGTTTGGGAGTGACGGGTGTCGTTCGCGTGGCTTTGCGAGTGGGGATGTGTAGTTTTGCTGATCACATTGAGACTGCATCACTTCTACTTGTACATGCCTACACCCATGTATGCTGTAATATCTTCTACTTCGCTTCTATCTTTACATTTCTACATGCATGTATATCTTAACACCTGCTATAGACCACTCAATAATGCGTTCCGATGTTGTTGTAGCCTGCTCGCGTAACATTGATCCTTGGATCTTGAAGTTCGCTGAACCAAGGTCTTACTGCATCCTCAACCATAGTTCTGACTTTAGACTCGCACTACGTCATTAGTGAATGCAAATGACCATTCACTCTTCACTTATTTCCTATTGAGCAGGAACAATGCTTTCTCAGGGTACCCACTAAGTTTCACCTCGACACAGACAGCTCGCGACAAGGACTGGGAAACCACCTGCTCGACATTTACGACCCAGCCACCGATCGCAAAGCACAACTCCACGAGGAGCCCTGGCGTACACGATGCCTCCACCGATCGCAACAACGCCGACAGGTAGCGAGATGTCGTCGCCTCACATTATGTTCTCGGCGAGTACACCACCTGGACTGAGCCCGTATACGTCAAGCGTACCCGTTGCAGACCCCATCCAGTCACCCATGCTTCACCCAGCGCAGAAGCGTCCAAGATGCGAAGATGAATCGCAAGAAGCGCTCGCAAAGCGCGCCCGCAACGACTCCATCACGACCTCGCAAGAGCAGCGCTACAACGACCACAAGCCCGCAATCGAAGCCTGGTGCAAAGCACAGCAGACGCACCCCAAAGCACGTTGGTACGAGAAACTTCACGCTTGGGAAACGAATGGCTGTCGCGACGTGCGACGCAAGTCGCCCGCAACAACATCGCCGCCAACTCCCTTACCCATCACACAAACCCCCGGAATGGATTCGCCCGCCGAGATCCTCAACACCCGCCGCCAATGGGGCGACGCCAAACCAGACTGTCACGTACATCCCCTCGACAAAGCCGAAGTCCCGGAATATCCCACCGAAGACTCACTCGCGAACTGTACAAAGAGGCCAGATGGTTTGTACAAATGCTTGCATCCTGAGGGTAGCCACCACAAGTGCTGCCGCGAGGGTCTTACAGAGAAGAACAAGAAACATGCTATTGGGAAGCAGATCCGGGCGTGGAAGAACAAGGTTGAGGAGATGGTGCTCAAAGGGGAGTTGCATGTTGCGCATAAGACGTGGGGGGATTGGAATAAGAAGAGTAAGGAGAGTTATGGGGGAGAGGTGGGGAGGTTGGATGGGGTGTTGGGGCTTTTGGGGGGAGGGCTGGGGAGGAAGGGGGGAGGGGGGATGGCTGTGTCGCCTGCTCCGAGGACGACTGGGACGCCAGTTCCTCTTCCTGCGGCGTTGCCTGCTCGGAGGACTCCGGTCGAAGCTGCCCGTCAGGCTAGTCCACAGGGATATGCGCCACAGCCATTCGTTCCATCCGCGTCACCGACTCAGCAGATGTCCCCGTTGCAACAGAATACACCCGCACACGCGACATCGCGGCAGTTTCAGCATCAGTCCCCACAACAGCGGCCAGTTCAACATCCAGTCAACACGGGCAGTATAGCTGCATACCGAGGTCATCCAACATCTCTGGCGCAACCTCAAGTCCAACATACCTTCACGAACACGCCGACCCAACATCTCACTCCCTCGACCATAACAACAAGTCCCGCTCCAGCAGCAAAGCGTCAAGCCGGCGAACCTGCATTTGGCTACCATGAATTGCCTCCAAATGGACCACATCGACAGCAGGAACTTGCCAGCTTCTCTCCTCAGCGCAGGTCGCAGGAAGGTGCTGTGATTGCGTCTGGAGCAGTGCCTGTGGTGACTCCATATGTGCCGCAACCTTCGCCGCCACTGGGTCAGGCACTATCGCCAGTCGCATCGAACCATCCTAGCAATGGATACAGGCTGCCTCAGTCTATAAGTCGAGAGCAAGAGCAGCGCCAACCGCAACAGCAAGCTCCGCCGCAGGTTCAAAATGCTAGACAGCAGCAAGCTGATGTCCAGCTGCCACCGTCAGGCGCGACGACAAACCATGCGGTGATAACACATCCAGCGCCCACCCAGATGGCTACAAGCCCGGGTACCAAGCCACAGCGCACTTCCGCTTCCACCCTCACACCGAAAATGTCCTCCACCACTCACACACTCTCGCCGGACAAGTCTTCCACGCTTGCGGCTTCATCTCCTGCGAAGGCAGAGCCTGCTGTCGACTACCGACCGGCGGCGATGCGCATGCTGCAACAGCAGATCAAAGACCATGAGCCTATTGTGCTTGGTGGGCTGAAGATCACCAGGGATGATGTGAACAGCAATATGAGTGGCTGTGTGGGAAGACTGGCGACGGCATTGCGGGCAGAAGCCGAAGAAGTTGCAAAGAAGGAGGCAGAGGAAGCTGCGCGGAAGGAAGCCGAGGCAACTACGCGGAAGAAAGCCGAGGAGACTGCGCGTGCCAACTCGAAGAACGCTTCTTCAGGCCAAGCTGAAACTACCGACGAGATTGCGGCTCTCACGGTCTCAAACGATAACGAAGGCCACGAACTAGACTACCTCTTCTCCGACTCCCCCATCGACCCCACGCACAGCCACCCCATCGACTTCGGCAACCCAAACGACTATCTCTTCGACGACAGCGCTGATAGCAATGAATGGATTATGCCCGACCTCCCACCCAACTTCGGCAAGATGGACCTTATCGGAATGACGCAACGGGCCTTTGAAGAAGAATCCTCACCCTCACAGCCACAAGAGGAGCCTCAGCCTGAGCAGGAAGTCGACACACCAGCCGACCTGAGCTACCCCGAAGCGTGGTTCATAGAAGATGTCGAGGACTTCGTGACCAGTGGACCGCTTCCGGAGTGGATGCTACGGCCTACGACGGACTTCACTTTGGAGAAGATGCAAGTGGAGGGGTTTGATGGAGATTCGGGGATGCCGGGGGATCCGGAGGAGTGGGTGCAGGCGAGCAGGGCCTGGCAGAAAGAGAAGAAGGCGGGTGCGAGTTGAGTGCGAATGTCTCGAGGTGATGACGTTGCTGTCAGGGCTGAATAGTCGCGTGTATCGCTTGGTGGTTGGTGGTTGCGGGCGCACATTACTATGATAGATGGGAACGTTGCGCGAATCCCATTGTCGTGTTCATGCTTCAACTTGGGCTCTTGAGTCCGCACGTGATGTTTGGTCTGGCTGTTCCTAAGGTTCGTAGCGCACTTACGTCAGCGGCCAGAACGACGCTGTTGAGTATACAATAGCAAACTTTCTGAAACGTCCTGCAGTGGCGCAGACTGATCGAGCGGTCGATATTTTCAAGCCTGCAGCCAGTAGAAAGCCGACAGCCAGAGTCGCGCTCACTTCGAAGTCGATCCAAAGAGGTGTCATTGGCCACAGGCCCTTTCACCTCGCCCAACCTCGTCGTTTCCCACGTATCTCCTGCTATTGTGCCCTATAGAAACCAGCCGTCAGCGAAAATTTGCATGCTCACCTTCACTTTTACAGTCCTTGCTATTGTGATACCGGCAGAATAGACGTCGTCCCAGCCAAGAAGTCCTTACTATATAAGAAGTCCTTTCGTCTCCAACTCTTCTGTTCTCCAGCTCTATCTTCCCATCTCACACTCACAATTGCTTTTCAAGCCTACCATACCACCATCACACTACATTCAAGACTAGAATCCAACACAAGTCATACCATACTACCACTTCACCACCACCACACACCCACACTACATCCGCGACCAAGCCAAATCGCGAAGATGTACGCAACGCCTCCCATCCGCATGTACGGAGCCGGAGCCAAGGAGGCCGCCGACGCCCGCCTCCTCGACGAGGTCAGGAGCCGTCGTGCCGCCGCCGCCAAGGCCGCCCACCAGGACTCCGCCGACGGCATCCAAGAGCAGCTCGTGGAGCTCCGCCGCCGCCGCCAGTTCCTCGAGGAAGAGCTGAAGAAGAACAAGGCGGCTGAAGAGACTTTGCTGCGCAAAGCAGATCGGGCTTCGGCCATGAAGAAGACTGTGGGTGGGTTGGCGGAGAAGAAGGAGGAGAGGGAGAGGAGGAGACAGGCGGCTTTCGAGCAGAAGAGGAGGGAGGGGGAGATGGGGAAGGGGCCGGTGGGCGTGGTGAAGAGGTCGCCGCAGAAGGCGGCGTGGAAGGGCAAGTTCAAGGACTTGTAGGCGGTGGGTGGTTTGGGGGGGTTGGTGGGTGGAAGTATGTAGTGGGTTGATGTTGTCGCCTGGCTTGAAATTCTGCCTGAATGAATGATGTTTCCCGATGATGATGTATGCCTCAACTGTGATTTGTATCCTCATATCTCCGGGCGCACGGTGATATGTCGTCGTGAAGTCACGTTATGTCAGCGCAGATACTCACCCCATCATCACTGGATACCTCCTAGCCACATGATGTCGCGACGTGCGTACCCCAAGAATGTGATGTCTGCCTCAAAATGTGGTGTCAGAAGTCAAGTTCAAGGTACCCCACAAAAGCCAGCTATGCGGCAGCGCACGGACGAACGGTGACGTACTGCGATATCGTGACCGACACGCACCTATCACGTCTGCGTGGCGACGACATGCACCTAACTCCTCGCATTCAAGCACTTCCATTCCCTTTGTCAGCGGCAAACCTGTACATCAACCTCCTCTTCTCCCTCTGCCGTCGCACCCGAAGATATTCCCGAGCCGCCTCACCCTTGCAGCGCATCATCCGATATCGCAACATCGTCATCATCGCAAAGCAACATCAAAGCAGCATCAAGCACCCAAAAGAGCAGGTACTCAGCGCGTCCAAGATACGCGAGTAGTGCTTTGATCTTCTTTGATCTTGCATAGCGCTCGTATTCGCTGCTTGATCACCCCAATCTACCCCGGACTTGTTGCGGCTAGGCGAAGGTGGGAAGGTGTCACCACGGAACGTTGCCGAGACGGTAGCATCGGGTGGAAGAGCGCCCTGCAGGACCGACGATTGAGGCGCTTTATTAAGTCTTGGGGCGGACGATTCACTTCTGCTTGAGGTGCGGGTTGCATGCGAGAGGTAAGAGGGACGGACGCGGTTGCTACTTAAGCTTTTCGCCACCCTGGCTGAGGTACTCCAACGGCCGATCGGTTCCTAATAAGAGGCTGCATACGACTTCGAACACGCGACACCATCAATCGATACCATGGAGCTACGGATTCGCGAAACAGAAAGCCCGGCACCGCAAACGCCCATCCCGCCGCTGCTGAACCTCCCTTCGGAACTACTCCATCATGTGCTCAGCTACCTCTCATTATCAGACCTCCTCACCGTGGGCATGGTCAGCAAAGTCCTGCGCACCCACACATTCCAAGACACGCTCTGGCAGGCCTTCGTAGAAGCAGAGGTACCCAACGTCACGAAACCAGCGCGCCTCACATGGCGAGAACTATACCAAGAACACCACCCCTACTGGTTCATCGCGCGCCGCAAGATCTGGTTCGCCGACACAGCCCACACCGGCAAACTGCTCATCGCGCGCTACGACCACCGACTCAACGCAATCGAAGCCTACGCCCTCGTTGCCGAACGACGCTCGCCCGTAGCTCTATCCTGGGACCAACACCCCGAAGCTATAATCCATACCTTCAGCCCGAACGTGCGCCTCGACCTCAACGCGCCCATCGTGCGTCTAAACCGCGACGCCTACGAAGAAGCCGTCGGGAATATTGGTTATCGTTTGCAGAAAGAAGTCCGCATGTCCCTCTACCGCGACCGCCAACAACAAGCCGCGTCCCTCTTCTCCCAACTCATGCTCACCCGCCCCTGGCCCGAGGCTATAACAACAGATGCCACGCCCGTCTGGCCGCCCCTCACCCTCCCCAGCGCAGACCGCACGCGAAATGACCACTCCCCATCTGGATACCGTCAACCAGGCCAAAAGCCCGCCACCCTCTCCCAGCTCTCCGACTCCACGTTCCGGATCCGGCGCTGGATGGAATTTTCCACGCGCGTCCTGGGTATGGGCATGCGCATTGGCGAGGACGTGACGACATGGGCAACTCTACCAGAAGCGTGCTACACGCCCACGCCCCAGAAACCATGGCAAGGGATCTGGTGCGGCGATTACGCGGGCCACGGCTGCGAGTTCCTGGCTATCATGCAGCCGGATGAGCGGGATGCGAAACCGCTTCCTGAACGTGCGCTGTGGGCTATGCGGGCGAGGGAGCGGGAGGAGAGTGTGAGTAGTGAGGGGAGTTGGACGACGGCGCCGACGGATGCGGCGGGTTCTTCTGCTGACGAGGAGGGGTCTGTTGATGGGGGTGTTGAGGTTGGTGGGCCGGCGATGGAGAGCGCGGATGATCTGGAAGATAGCGTCGCCACTTTACAGTCACCTTACCACAATTACATTTCCACCTCCGGGGAAACATCAAACGACAGTAAACACAGGTCGGAGGAAGACGAGAGTGTATACTGCGGCCGCATCGAAGCCGTCAAGCTCACCGGCGACCCAAACATTCCTCGCGGCGAATACACGTTCATAGCACCGGATATTGGACCGAATGGCTTGATACGGGTTGCGAAGGAGGAGATTTTCAAGGGCGCAAGGATTGTGAGGAGTGTGGGGCATATTGCTGCGACGGGGTTTAGGGATGGTATGTTTGTCCTTTCTTTTGTTGCTGTGGAAGTGCTGTGGGGGATGGTGGATGAGAGGGTGGGGAGACAGTTGGGGGGTGTGAGTGGGGTGTGAGAAGATGGATGCTAACTTTTCGAGCAGATAACTACATGACGAGTCAACTCATTCTCATCAGTCATGATCGGCTGGCGCAGTATTGGGAGACGTTTGGACATGTGAGCTTTTATCAGAGGGTGGATGTTGATACGTTTACGAGGGTGTGAGGGGTGGGTGTTTGGTATTGGGGCGATGCTGTTGGAGGTCGGTGAGGTGTATCAACTGTTTGGCTGAATATCCACTCACTTCTCTTCTCGCGACGTCACACTATCAATAGTGTTGTGAACGCTACTCGATACCCTGTTCCAGGTGTGCTCGCCTTCATGCCACGCCTAGAGTGACAGCAGACAGCGCCCGCCGCATGGCAGATCGCGCTTTGCTGATTGGGAGCTAGCGCCACAATCCCTGCTTCCGTGCGGCTTCGGAACGTCATCGCTCATCACCAAATTTTGGGGCAGCGCGTGTGATCAACACTGACGAACATTACGACGACCCCACCCAGCACTTGAGCTGATACTCACTCGCATAAAACCTCCATCGTTACTCGGATCTTTGTTTAAACCCAGCGTTCACCCACTTGAAGAGCGTCCCAAAGTAAACATGGCGACACACGAGCAGTACATACTGCACGTCACGGCGGGCGCAACCTACGACACGTCAAAACACGAAGACGTCCTAGTCAACAGCGAAAAGCCCGTCGACATTTCCTCCGACTTGATCGACGCGCGCATCCACATGCGAATCAAAGACTACCGCGGTACGCCTCCCACCCGACCCCTCCACCAAACTGCCCCTCCAACGCTTCAGCCACTAACAAAGCCCAGGCCTACCAGAAGGCTCCCCAAAGACATCACCCTACTTCTCTGTACCCCAACATTGCTACGATCGCTACTCGATATCCTTCTCCTTCACACCCAAACAAGACATCGCCGGCGACAAGCTCGTTTTCGGAAACGACTTCGATCACCCTATCCGCGACCGGTTACCGCCGCTTTTCGACAAGGCGTTTGGGGTAGTCAGGTGGTGGATTGACCCAGGGCTAGACGGCGATGTGTACGCAGACGAGCCGTATCTCTACGGTGCGCTTCTTTCCTCGATAAACGTCCTGCGCATCGGCGCCAAGAAGGATGCGGACAAGCCAGCCAAGGCCGACCTGGAAGGCGAGGCACAAACAGAAGGAGACGTGGAAGTTCCTGGCTCAGACGGCGAGGCTGTTGTATACGAAGAAGGCGCAGATGGCGACGGCGTAGACGTCAGGAAGAGCAAACACGTACCCGACAGAGCCAGCGCGCGACAAAAGTTCTTCCTCACAGAGCAGAACAGGAAGGACTTTGTGTTTGAGGCTGGGAGGGAATACAAGTGCGATTTCTTCAACCCGTATCTTGACTTCAATGAGTTTGCGCTCAAGATCGGGTATGGATTACCTGTTATAAGTATGATTGGGCACTGGGACGGACAGCCGCTGCGGTAAGTCACACATTCCTTCAACCTCCTGTATCCCCCATTATCGTCGTCACCACAACCACTACTACCACAACCACCACCACTACTACTACTCACACATTTCTTTGGACCTCGGGATACGGAGCTGACTTGACTGCATTCACTAATCAGACCGCACACGCTTAGATATGTGCTCAAGAACCGGGAAACCAACCAGGAGCTCTTTGTCGTGGTGATAGAACTACTGCCCACTGAGCAAGCGAAGAAAGAGGGCGCGGAAGATCCGAAGGAGAAGTTTGAGGAAGTTCATGGCGGGGGGAAGAAGGAGGATGGGAATAGTGACCTTGATTAGGGGATTGGGTCTTGGTATCCGCAGTTTGTTTGGTGATGGTGATGGGGGATTGGATTGGGGGTTTCAGCATGGCGTTTGGGAGGTAGGGGTAATGTGGGATGGAATGGGATGGCCTAGGTCTATTGTTAAGGATGATATGGAATCGCGCTCAGTATGAGCAGCAAATGCAGCGGTCAGTGTAACTTTGACGATATATTTCCATGCATGGCAATCTCCGTTCTCCCCCGCGGGGACACAACGTGGGCGCCGCGCCGGTAAAGAAAGCTCGGACCTCCGAACTTCGGCGCAAGCTGCAGCAACACCAAAAATTCCACCGCGAAGCTGTCACACCCGCATCACATCCCCAACATGGCCGCACGCACTTTGAGGATAGGTAAGACGATCAATTGGTTTTTCACGCGCCAATAACATCAATTGCCATGCGAATCGACTAACACACCCCAGGCCTCATCCCCGGCGACGGCATCGGCCGCGAAGTCATCCCCGCGGGCCGCCGCATCCTCGAAGCGCTGCCCTCGTCTTTCGGCCTAAAATTCTCCTTCTCGCACCACGAAGCCGGCTGGGAAACCTTTCAAAAGACCGGGGCCGCCCTCCCCGACGACACCGTCTCGGCCCTGAAATCCGACTGCGATGGCGCCCTCTTCGGAGCCGTCAGCTCGCCGACTGTGCAAACCAAGGGATATTCGAGTCCTATTGTTGCGTTGAGGAAGAAGATGAAGCTTTATGCTAATGTGAGGCCTGTTAAGAGTGTTAGGGGCGCGGCGAGGGATGTTGATTTGGTGATTGTGCGAGAGAATACGGAGGATCTTTACGTCAAAGAAGAAAAGACGTACACCGCACCCGACGGCTCCAAAATCGCCGAAGCAATCAAGCGCATTTCCGAAACCGCGTCTTTCAACATCTCCGAAATGGCCGGCGACATCGCCCTCCGCCGCCAACGCGTTCGCGACGCCGGCGCGCAGTCTATTCACTCCTCCCCACTCGTCACCATCACACACAAGAGCAATGTGCTATCGCAAACCGACGGCCTCTTCCGCGAAACCGCCCGCCGCGCGCTGCAAAACAGGAAATACGGCGGCGTAAACATCGAAGAACAAATCGTCGACTCAATGGTCTACAAACTCTTCCGCCAACCCCAAGACTACGACGTCATCGTCGCACCCAATCTCTACGGCGACATCTTATCCGACGGCGCCGCCGCCCTCGTCGGTTCCCTCGGTCTCGTTCCGTCTGCCAATGTAGGAAAGGATTTTGTTATCGGTGAGCCGTGCCATGGGTCTGCGCCTGATATCGAGGGCCAGGGTATCGCCAACCCGATTGCGACGATTAGGAGCACAGCGCTGATGTTGGAGTTTATTGGGGAGGAGGAGGCGGCGGCGAGGATTTATCAAGCGGTGGATGGGAATTTGGAGGAGGGGGCGTTGTTGAGTCCGGATATGGGGGGGAAGGCGGGGACGGAGGAGATTGTTGAGGATATTTGTAGGAGGTTGTAGGAGGTTGTAGATGGTTGATGGGGGTGTGATGTGGTGGACGGACACGATGTCAGAGCAGCTTAGGCTCGGGGATGGAGCAACGCTCTAATGTTCTACGACCCAGTCTTTGTGCTTCGGGGCTGGTTCATAGGGCACTAGAGCGTTGCTCCATCTCTTTAGTGCTGGCAGGCGTGGTTGGTGCTTATTGGCTGGATTGTGTAGTTCATGCGATCGATCCGGTAACGCAAGCTACTTGCGCGCGCTAGAACGATTGCGTTCATGAAGTTGAGAGAGTGCTGTGACTAAGTCTGTTAACATAGTGTTGTACAGATGAGAAGATAACTATTTGCGAACTGGCACAGAACGAACTTTGGGAGAAGGGTAGACTGAAATGACTCCGTACGCTACGATAACTAGGCTTGCGCTATCATTTACACTGTCTTGTCGAATCCATTCATTGCGTCGAAAAGGTATTATCTTTGTGAGCAGTATGAAGTGAAGGCGAAGAGCAAGAGCGAGGAGATGATGGAAGCGGGGATTGCCAACGAGTCGATTAACCGGGGCTTGATCCATAGATGCTGCGCGTCACGCAAATCCCGCCATGAACCCCTAATCCCCAACGTCTACTTCACGGTATCGATAACACGCTCGAATGATTGTAACAACGTGCTGCCCTCCAGCGCATGTAGAGCTATGAGAACACAGCGTACTGAGACAATGCTGAGGTACACAAGCGCGGGAACGGCGCGATACCTGCTTTAGCGCAACTTGTGAACATGTTTGCCCATGGACTATCAGCACACTAAAGCTTGACAAACCTTGCGTACTCGCTGCTGCGTCGCTTTCGTGCACGGAGCTGGAGCTTCGTTTCGGGCCCCACCTGCTCGATGTGGTCAAGACGTATGCACGGCGGAGATGCTGCCCCATCGCTGACAATGCTGCTCTCAGCCTTCATTCGCAAAGCTTCCACATATCTACTTGCCATGGGTGAGCCTCTTTATCAATACCGACCGCTACAATACAGCGACTCTATACGCATCCTTGTTCTACATCCAAGTCCAAACGAGTCAGATCCATTCGCATGCACCCTCCGCCATGTACAACTCGCATTCACTACACGCTATCCGAAAGCTCACCCTACACACTTTACATACGAAGCAGTCTCTTACACTTGGGGCGATAGTAGCCAGCTCATGAACACAATTTACTTCAATAATGGCCAAGAAAGATTACTTGTGGGGAAGAACTGTTACGCTGCTCTCCGTCGCTTGCGCCTGGCTCACAAAGACCGACCAGTATGGATCGATGCTGTTTGTATTAACCAGGCGGACCTTCAGGAAAGATCTCGCCAGGTGCGCATAATGAATGAAGTTTACGATCACGCGTTGAGTATTATGGTCATGCTCAGCGACCACGTCCCTGACTGTCGCCTCTTGCTGGATGAATCGAGAAAAGTCGACAATTTTCTGAAACGTGGCCACACGCTGTGGCCACGGCCTCCACCGAGCAAAGCCATCATTAAGCAGATTGAAACAGTGTTCGAAGAACCATGGTTCAAGAGAACCTGGGTCCTTCAAGAAGTGTACAAGAAAAAGGATATCAAAGTCGTTTACGGTTCAGCAGTCATACCACTAGAGGTATTAAGGCACCTCTGCTACGGAGGTCCATCAAATGGTCCTGACGCAATTAGGTCAACACGAAAGACCACACGTGGTGTTCTACCACGCCCTCTGGAATTATTGTGGACAAGTCAAGTTGAGTACTCCACGCCACAATTCAATCTGTGGAATCGCCTGTACATGAGCAGAGAATGTCTAGCGAGCAACTCCAGAGACAAGGTCTTTGCTCTGAAATCCCTCATCGGCTCTAGGCAATCGGACATTGACGATTTGATCGACTATACACAGAGTGTAGAAACGTTGTTCAAGCGAGTCGCTGAGTACCTTTTGCCCGTGCTAGGAACTCGGATCCTCGCCGCCATCCGCCACTCACACGAACTGAATATACCCTCATGGATGCCAGACTGGTCCCAAACCTTACCACTCCAGTCTCTTGCTTTTCATTGCGAATCAGACAAAGCAAGAATGTTGGGCAATTTATCACTACGCCCTACTGCCGAAGATCGTAAACGCACGCTAGAATCCTATTCGTTGAAAGGTTCCCCTACACGCCCCGAACTACATGTCGCAGGATGTCATTATGCGCAAATCGTCAAGTCGAGCCGGACATTTCACTTTCTGGATAACGATGACGCCGAACAACAGATGCTCAATGTATATCAAGATCTGCACAATACCAGAGTATATCGGGATGCAAAAGGGAACCGTAGAAATGCTACCTCATTCACACTGAGCCAGTTTGGTCGAAAGATCTTCTCTAGTAAGCGCGCAACTTGTCTAGAGGATCCTGGGAACTAATGAGCGCATAGTCTTATCTCGCATGAAGGGGATAGATCTGCATTACTCCCTGACTCGAGCATGTGGTACCTACGTAAGTCGCCCCTCATCTACTTGATACAAACATCTCATCCCGATTAGGGCAACCCGATCTACCTTTGGGAAGAGATGGAACTCTTTTATCAAGCTCTTCAGCTTTGCAAAATTAGCCTGTTGAGTAACGGCGAGCTTGCGACCGTACCTGAAGACGCACAGTCTGGGGATGCAGTCTGTATCATCAAAGGTGCTGTGGCACCTTGTCTTCTTAGACATGATCAAAATGGAAGATGGAAGCTTATCAGTGGTGATTGCTTCCTCTTTGCGACAGGACTTCAGCATGTATCTGGATTGGGTGCTTACGTCAAGGCGAATCAAGATCGAGTAAAGGAATTTATACTGCGATGACAGAAATCGGGGCAGGGCAGTATAGCAGTCTTGTTCGCGGCCCGTTTTGGAAACGATGCAGACCTAATGCATCAAACGAGGATGAGCGCATTACCAGCCCACGCCAGGCACATCCTCTCTAATGGCCCAGCAGTTCATCCGCACACACCCCCCTCCACCACTGCTCTACCTCCTACTCCGATCAAAACCCACAACCCTCAACTCCCTCCCTACACACCTTTACAACCTGCTCAACCACACTCCTCTCCACAACACCATCCTGCCAACAAAACCCAACACTCAACCCCCCATCCGCCCCCGTAATAACACTCGTCGTAACCGCCGCGCCAAACACAACAGCACTGCGACTAAACACCATTCTACCAATCCGCCAGTGTGCGGCATCGTCGCCATGGCGGAGATCATGAGCAGAAGGATCATGAAAGCGGCCCAAATTCGATATCTCAAACGCAGCATCGCGCTTTGTGCCGACGAGCGATGTAAACACGGTAGCGACATCAGGGATGAGTTTAAACGGCGCGATGGACGTGTACGGTTCGCCGGTTGGTGAGGCGTTGGCGAGATACCTCTTAATCTCTTCCGACGTATATTGTGCAGCGCGTAGACCGCTCATCATGCCCTTAGCATCACCACCGCCTCCACCGCCTTCCCCGCACTCCTCACGCCTCACATGCACTTTCATCGCATCAATAAAACTTCCCATCGCCCCATCCGCCTCGGTCGCAGGTAGATCCAGCCACGGCCGTAGATTAATCGGTACAATGCCCGTGAGCGCTTCCACGGTGTCTGGTAAAGCGTTGAAGAGAGCGTCCGCTAGTATGGCGGTGAGACCGGATGTCACCGAAACGCCGTTGTCCTTGCATTTTTTCGCGAACGTTGCGGTGGTTGCGGGTGATAAGAAGAGTGTTTTGTAATGCGTCTTCAGGGGCGTGTGAATGGGGTTTCCGAACCATTCTTTTAACTCCGAGGCGTTGTCTGCGCGGTGGGAGTGAGGATTGGGGTTGATGGGCAGGGGGTGGAGGTGCTCTAGGGGGGCGAGAAGCTGGACGGTGGGGTTGACGGGTATGCGTGTGTTGCTGTGGGTGTCGAGACAGGGGAGGGAGATAGCGGTGTTCAGGCCTTGGAGGAAGGACGAGTGGAAGATTGACCCTGTTGCGCCGTCGCCGAGACTATGGTGGAAGATGAAGGATGCAGTGAAACTGAGTTCCGTCCCAGCATCTTGCAGGATGATCAGACGCCAGAAGGGTACATCGCCATAATCAGTTTTGAAATCAACATTATGCTGCCCCTCAAGCATCGCATCAAGCTCCCCATCTTCTTCCTGTTCCCCACGCGTAGCACAGCCAATCCGTGTTTTCCAGACCACGCACTTCGCAAGATCGATTACCTCTAATCGCGCAAAGTACGCCTCCGGTGACGCTTCGTTTATGGGAATGGCGGATAGAATAACATGCTTTCTTATGACGTCCGCCACCGCCGCATACACTAGGCTTTGAAGATCGGGTGGTTGGGTAGTACTGCGGGTGGATAGGGTGTAGTGGGCGGACATGCCGACATTCTTGAAGAAGCCGAGGGCGTGGGATACGGAGGAGAGCTGTTCGGATTTGCCTGTGGGGCGGTGAGTTGGTACGAAGGGTATGGGTTAGGATCGGGGTTTGCGTACCTAGTGGTCGCAGCATGGGAAGCCGGTGCTCTTTGGGCGGATGGTCGGGTATGTTACGTGCCATTTTGCAGATAGTTGCTGTGGTAGTAAGAGGGATAGGATGCGTTCGACAGGGAAAGGGATTCACGACAGAATTTCTATTGCATTGTAGGATGAGGTGATATCTATCTGACAACCTGGGTAGAGTACGAAACTGATATGGGTTGTCGGAACGGATGCAACAAATAACGCGGCATGGCCGAGCGATACCAAGCCTATCAGCTACTGCACTAAGGCTGTAGGTGCTTTGAGTCTAGTCATTTTGTTCTTGGCTATATGAGCAATTTACCGGCAGCTCTCGATCCTTCGCTTGTCACTGTAGTTCACGTCAGGTTGGTGGATGACATTGTGTCCCACGCTGAGCCATGCAAGGCCTTCACTCTCAAGTCGCTGCGTGACACAACAAAGAAACTAGGACATTAGCGCATGCGTCAACTAGCTTGAGGTGTATTCAATGTTGGGCTCGCGACAGCGATGATGCTACTGGGGATGCATTTTCGGTAAGAGAAGACATCGCATGTTGATGGCCACGACGGTGTACCAGCAATGAGTGTCACGAATTTAGCTTTTGAGTACAAGTAGAGGTGCGAATAGCAGGGAATGCCAGCTGTCTGGATCGCAAGCAATAGACATCGTGTTGGCGTACGTCAATAACGATATCTCGAATGAAACTGAAGAAGGAATGCTCAACCTCAACCTGAACACAGTCGCGACACCACGGCAGACACAGCACTTCAAGTTATGCTGCCGTCATCCTCCAACGGCAGCATCACCCTCCTCAACCAAGCCCTCTTCGCCGCAATCGCAGCCCCCACAACCGGCACCTTCGGATTCTCAACAGCATCAAACAAGTGCGTCCCCCCGGGCCAGACATGCAGCTCACACGAGGAACCACACCGCCACATGATCATAGCATACATGACTGCAGGATCGCGGAAGACCTCGCATTCAGCCGCATCGATGTAAGTCTGAGGTAAGTTGGACAGGTCTGTAGCGCGGGATGGGGCCTGATATGCGGTGACCGTGTTGGTGCCACGCTGACCGGCAAGAGCGTGGTTCCAGGCCGCGCGGTTCGTGGCGCCGTTCCAGGGCACGCCGTACTCGAATTGGTGGTCTGAGACGCTGTCGCAGCGGTCGTCGAGCATGGGCGACAAGAGCATTTGCGCTTTGATCGGCACGGTTGGGTTTGCCTTGTCGCGGGCCATGAGACAGGTTGCTGCAGCGAGGGGCGCACCGCCTGAGGACCCGCAGATCACGATTGCAGCTGGATCGATGCCTAGGCGCGCGGCGTTTGTCGAAAGCCAGACCAGCCCATCATAGCAGTCTTCGGCGCCGCCTGGTGCAGGTGTCTCGGGTGCGAGTCGGTACTCGATTGAGGCGATGACGCATGGGATGTCTTGGACAAGATCGACTAGTTGCGCAACAGCGCTGAAGCGATCGCCTAAGATCATGCCGCCACCGTGTATGTAATACAAGACTGGTAATGCATTGGGCGAGGCCTTCGGGGCGAAGACTGACAAGGCGATGCTGTGGCCGCACGAGCCGGGTACGGCATGCTCCGTATGCGTCAGATGCGGGTTCGCGGCGAGGATTGGTTCGGGACTGCCACCAACATCGAAGCCGCGGAGGAAGGCTACATCCAACTCTTCCGGTAAAAGCGCAGAGTCGATCAAAGGTGCTAGACCAGGATCGATGGACGGTCTCGGGAGCGTGATGCGCGGATCTAGCTGTGCAGCCTGCGAATACGGGTATGGGTATGGTGTTGAATCGTGTGTCATGTTGGCCGGTGAGAACGCGATAGCGAGCCGCGACGCATCACGGCCTTGCATGTGTACATGTACTGGACGTTTGCGGCGGGCGTAGGGGCGCCATGCTGACAGTAAGCGGGGATGCAGACACGACCCGCGAACCAGGGTGAGGTTGGTGAAGCCATACGCGAGCACGGACCCTGTCCAACGGCCCGCTCCACTGCAAGCAGTCTGAGGGCATATTACCCGCTGCTGTGGGCTTGGTTCCGACGCCGTCATCCCACGCACCAGGCCTTCAACACATGTCGCCCACGAGGGCGCAGCCGATTCTAGCCCTTGCCATGAGGCACCCTGCCGGGTCAGCCACCTTCTCAAACAAGCGCATTCTGCCGTGAGCGCGTTTTCGAATGAGCGAATTTCGCATGAGCACGTTCCGGCTATCAGCTGCTCTTATGAGCAAGTCTAGCGACGCATCTTTTGCCGCTAGAAAGGTCATGTAGAAGTCCGACACACGACTGAGCTCCCTCTTAACCTCCTAGGGCTGTAAACTCCGCAGCCAAGAGAAAGACTCCACCAACAGCAATCCAGCTCACCAAGTGGAGGTACGGAGAATGATCGGCGCGAAGGTTTGGGTTGGCATTGTGTAGCGACATGACTGCGGGGCGTCGATTGAAGGCTGGTATCGTCGCAAGACTATACTGATGCTGTTAGCTTTGATATCCCCACGACGCTGCAATGCCTACCCGCTTCTACCGCGTGTCTACTGTGGCCTTGGGGCCGCTCTGGCCCCCTGCGAGCTCAACGGGTTGCGACGGCGACTGTGGAGTCTGTGATTACATGGTATCGCGCACCAGGTTTGGCGGTTGATGGAACCCGCTGGGGTGATGTCGAGGCACTGACAATGTTGGTGTCAGCACATACGTGCATGCCAACAGGGCATTAAGTAGCTTGCTGCGCGTGGCGGGTGAGTACACCTCGCATGTCCGAGTGTTGATTGTGATCAAATCGCGAGCATAGGCTGAACCGAGCCTGCGGCGGCGCGCGTTGCGGCGCGGGTACATCAGCGAAGAAGCTTGGCGGTGAAGCGTGATGGCCGCTAGAGAGCACGTGACGCTTGGCAGCCTTCGTCAAACCTCGACTGGGCAGTCAGTCCAACATGCCACCACACACCCCGATCCGCGTCTTGGATTCATCACGCATGCTGGCCTTCGTCCCGCTTATCCATCTCCGGATCGGGCGCGTCGCTTGTCACAATGACTAGGCCCTACAACTCCAGCTGGCTTCGTACAGCCCCATCGAATCAATGGCAGGAGCGTATCGAAAAAGCGAGGCCTGTTCGCCTCGAACACCCTCATATTACCTCAGCCGCCCCTGCAATGCCGGAGCTCGGACTGTATCTGCGTGCCGTTCCCGACACTACAGTCTCATCGTGGCTTCCGTCAGCCTTCGCCTGATCTCAAGGCCTGATCTCAAGGCTCGTGCGGCATTCGCCCACTTTACCGGCTCACAAAACCCGACCCTGGCAAACGTATTCTGGGGTCTTTATATGAGCGATTCCAGAATCTGATGACACTCTACTCACCTTCACAGATCGCAAGTCTATTGATGTCTCGCGAGTTATGGTCGACATGCGGATACGCCCCAACGGCTTGACTGGCACCAGCACCCACGGCCTTGGCATCTCACACCTACACATAGACCAACCAGTCCCTGCATCGTCGACTGAGGCGGGAGATACGTCTACCAAGATCTTGGATATCATTTACGAACATGCGCTCGACAAGTTTGACGATTCCAAAGAGCGTCTAGCGGCAGGAAAGGCGAACTTCCTGTCCGTAATCGACCGATTCGTCCTGGCAGGTGAACGTGTTGAAGCATGTTTGCCGGCCTTTCCTTTCAAGTCGGCCAACAAGGTTTACAAAGTCCTTGGGTCCCTTCCGGACAAGGCGGAAGAGCTAGCGCTTCAACGGTTGAACCACATGTGCGCAAGGATCAAGGGTGTCTACAAGCCGGGAGCAAGAGTTACCATCATATCCGATGGTATCACCTACAACGGTATGTATCTATCTCTGCTACAGATAGTCTCTACTGACACTTTAAACAAGACCTTTTGTCGATATCCGACCGCGAAACATGGATCTATGGCGAGGCTTTACGGCAGATGGCGGTCGAGAAGAAGTTCACGTACGTTGCCTTCTCTCGTCTGAAGGACATACTAGACCTTCCGCTCCCGGACAAATTGCGAGAGATCACATATGTTGCGAATTGTACCAACTTCCGCCGACTGCTTCTGAACAAGCACGGAAGGCCGGATATCGATATCGATAAGGAGATCAAGGAGAATGCTGATACGAGACTCACTTATCTCGGCTACCGCAAGTTTCTCGAGTCGGATCTGAAGCACATATTCGCACTTGGAGAGAACCGCGGCAGCAACCAATACAAGAGGGACGTCAAATATCTAGCCAAGCAGATGCTGTTCAGAGGATACGTAAGTTCCGAGAGTCCTCGCACTACTGGCTGAGCTATCGGACACTGACATCAAGTACAGGCTTATGCTGGAGCAGTCAAAGCCGCCTTCCCACACCACCTGAGGTTATCAATACACGAATCGATAGGCGACCACAAGATATCGATAAGTCTCTTGAACACCAAGACGGGCTACACCACACCATGGCACTGCAGCGTAGCCATGCTAGGCGACGGAACATGGGTGAGCGCGCCTAAAGGCGAGTTCGAGAAGGACCAGCGGCTTGAGCTAATATACGAGAACGGGCGGCCAAGCTACTTCAAGGAGAACAGGCTGCAAGAATCGGATATGCCGTGGATCAGCGAAGCCAACACCGGCTATCTGCAAGCTCGCAGCCCGTTCAGCGGCACCAAGAGCGGATATTCATCGCCGAGCGCGATGTCGATGGCCAGTGACGCATCAACCCCACCAACGTCCGTCGTACATTCACCACCACGTTCTTCACCGCGCTCTTCACCACGTTCTTCAGCAAACATGAAGTCCTCGGACTCATCATCCGCAGACGGCACTGGTGGAGAGCCGGCGTATGGACGCCGTCTCATACCTCAGATCATGGACCAAGTCGCGCGGTATAATCCCAACCGGGTTGTCTTCTCCATCGCAACGACTTCCGACGCAGGTCTGACGTTCCGAGACATATCAGCGCATACTTTTGCGAAGGCCGTGGACAAGACAGCCTGGTGGCTCCATGACCAGATTGGCAAGTCGGCATCGGTGCGGCCAGTAGGCTACGTCGGGCCACACGACCTCCGACATGTCCTCCTCACATATGCTTGCGTCAAGGTCGGCTACGCCGCACTCAACCTTTCGCCCAAGAACAGTGTTGAAGGCGCCCTGGCTGTGCTCGAAGCTACCGAATGCAACGTTTGGGCCAAAGCATCCGATGTACCGGCAGCCCCCCTGGTGAAGAGCTTCCTGGAGAGGCGCTCAATGAAGCTGCTGGAGCTACCACTCTTGGACGACCTGTTGGATGCAGAAGCCGCCAAGCCATTTCCGTTTACCAAAACGTTCGATGCCGCGGTCTCAGAACCTTTCTGTTATCTTCATACATCGGGCTCCACGGGGGTGCCAAAGCCTATTCCATGGTCTCACGGTCTGATTGGGACGATGGATGCGATTCGCCTACTTCCACCTGTCGATGGCGACGGGGGAATGGTGCCATGGACGTCGGACTGGAAGGAAGGAGACCGGATTTACTCTTCCTTTCCCATGTGCCACGGCGCTGGCATCATCATGGACATTCTCATGCCGGCATTGTTTGATCTACAGTGTGTTTTGGGACCGAAAAACGTGATCCCCAACATGTCGCTGATCGAGAACCTCGCCGATGGCGCCAAGATCGACATCTGGAGTATGGTCCCATCACTCGTCGATGAGCTTGGAGACACGCCTGATGTGTTGGCCAAGCTCCATACATCTAAGTTCATCTGCGCTTCCGGTGGTCCAGTCAGCCCAGTCAGTGCCGGCAAAGTCAACGACGTCATCAGAGTGCTCAACTTGACGGGAACGACAGAGGGTCTCTTCATCGGCAACCTCGTTGTTGATAGAGAGGATTGGTTATGGTTCGCCTTCCACCCGTACTCCGGCTTCGACTTCAAGGAAGTTGAACCTGGTATTTATGAACACTGGGTGCACCGCAACGAACATTCGTCCTTATTCCAAGGCATCTTCCACACATTTCCAGACCAGAAGTCTATCAATCTCAAGGATCTCTACAAGCAACACCCTACTAAGCCCAATTTGTGGGCGTTCACAGGGCGCAATGATGATCTCATCGTCCTGTCCAACGGCTATAAGATTCTACCATTGGAGTTCGAAGCCCTAGTGGGTACACACCCTGCGATTGATGGCTGCCTTGTTGTGGGTAGCCACAAGCGCCAGCCAGGCCTTCTCATCGAATTAAAGGCTGCCGTGGACAAGAGCGATGAACTCATGGACAGCATTTGGGCCAAAATAGAGACTAGCATGTCTTCAGCGCGACACGCCGTAAACTTGACACGCGACTATGTTATCTTTGCGCAACCAGATAAGCCCTTCGTCCGTACCGATAAAGGAACCGTCAAGAGAAGAGGAACAATTACGCTCTACGATGACTACATCGAGCGACTCTACAGCTCTCAAAACCCAGAGATTACTTTTGACATCGATACCAGCTCTACATCCACGTTGCAGCAGTCAGTAAAGGACATACTCGCGTCCTCTCTTCCAGCCATCTCGACCGCCACCCCGAACGATGACTTGTTCGCCCTCGGACTTGATTCATTGGGAGTGTCTGCATCGGTCACTGCTATCCGATCAGCTATCGCAGGCCTGGACAAACTCGCACCCCGTCATCTGTATGCCAATCCAACCCTGGCCAAGTTTATCGCCGCTCTCGAGCCAATGATCGCTGGAGTGAAGAATGGAGATAGCACAAGTCATGCTGCTAGCGACCGAGAATCGACCCTGCAGCGCATGATCGCCCAGAGAAGAGCGTGGCAGTCCTTCCGGTTGAACCCCTTCGACTATGTCAACCCAAACCACTACATGGGACTAGTATTCTACTTTCCCCTGAAAGCAGATGCAACCTTTGAAGAGACGTTTGCGAACATGCAGGCGGGACTCAATCGGACTTTTGAGCTCATACCAGCCCTTGGTGGAAAGATGATCCGATCGTGCCAAGACGAGATTGCATATACGACAGGCAACCTCTCCGTCGCCGTGCCACCCTTTGGTCGCCCAGCTCGCGACCGGCTAGTGTTCAAAGATCTGTCTCACGTGCTTCCAACTTTCGAGACCCTACGAGATGGTGGCTTCGTACCATCAGCCTTCAAGGACGAGCTGGTCCTGCGACAGGATACTTTCCCAAAGCTGCCCGCAGATATCATTGTGGCGCAAGCAAACTTCATCAAAGGCGGTTGCATCCTCGCTATGGACCTCAACCATTGCTGCCTTGATGGAGTAGGTGCTATTATTGCCATCAAGGCCTGGGCTGAGAACTGCAGGTACCTGCAAGGTGACTCATCAGCAACATGTGCGTGGTACGATGCGGAGAGCTTCAACCACAGCCTTCCCGAAGTACTGCATGACTTGGAGGGACATGCGCGCTCGGTAGATGAGATCGACCCTGATGTCTGGGGCCTACTTCCATTTGTTCCCACGGACGATGTCCTTGCGAAACATGCTGCCAGGGCAGCAGGACCTCTCGGCCGACCGCCACGCTACCCGCTGCACTCGGTATGGCCCTTGCCGGCTGCTGAGAGGAAGATGGACACTACCCTATTTTTGATCTCACCCGAGAAGGTCGAGTTGCTCAAAGCGGACGTCGCAAGCGATCCGGCCGCTAACGGCGTCACCACATCCATCAGCGATATAATACAAGCGTTCTTTTGGCGCTCCGCATTGCGAGCTCGTCTCGCTGTAGCCAAGGCCAATGGCCGACAGGTCAACCCCGACGACTTCTCCATCCTCGAGTTGCCAACGGACGGGCGACCTTACTTCTCCTCCCTCTTACCAGACTCATACATGGGCAGTCTACTCACGCTCAACCGAACAAGCATGCCAGTCGAAGAACTCTGCGCCTCGACTACGAGCATTGCAAGTATCGCGCAGATGCTGCGTGCTTCTGCTGCGCGCATGACACCGGCACTGATACACGACGCGTTCACTCTGCTGCAGTCACTGCCAGATCACAGCAGGTTCTCCACAGCCAACATGGGTCTTGACCACATGCACGCCATGATCTCAAACATGATACTCTTTCAGATGAACGAGATCAACTTTGGTCATGCGTATTTCACCAACGGAGGTTCGCCAGAGACGATGAGGCCTCAGCTGGAACGCGGCAGTGGGCGATTCAGGTTCCTGGTGGTGTTCCCACTGAAGGCAGATGGTGGCGTGGAGTTGGTGTTGGGTACGTTCCCCGAAGAGCGAGATATGCTTGCGCGCGATGAGGAGTTCACTAGATATGCGCGACTGGTTGATGTTGCCGCTTGTTGAGCTAGGTTAGACTGGGCACTATGAGAGCATTGCGGGGAGTTTGGTAGCTATTGCGCGTGTAATTTGACTGTCACCCTATTTGAACTGGTGCAAGTGTCACCTTGGGATAACGCACTAGTGCCAGAGGAATGCAGGTGCACTTGCACTTAGCGCGATGGAAGTGGGAGCAGGTCCATGCGACAACCTTGGAAGTCTCAGTGGCGCCATGTAGCCCCCAAACGCATGTCAGCTGTGCATGAGCAGGGTTCAGGGTTTCGGGCCATAACGATCGCAAACATGCTCTTCGCCGAGCCGCTTGTGCAACCCGCATGTCATGCTCGTATTAGCCCGTCTACTTAGCGAACATGACAAGTCAGCCAAGTACAGCAGGGTGTGGCTTTCTCACTCACATGGTTGTTACGGGCTTCACCAACTAGTCTAAGAGTGTCAGCAGCCACCACAGTGCGCATACTGCCTAGATTTTGCCCTTGTCGATACACCCACTCAACCCTCTGAAGCCTTCAACCGTGCGACATGAGTCGCTCTCGCGCATCGATCGAAGAGCCTCTTCTCTCTCCATCGTCTTCAACATCCAGCTTCGCCGAAGCTGTCAAATCAAGTGCCGACGATCCCAGCTGCCCGTCTCCAGAAGATCCACCCTCCAACGATGACGGCCCATCTCCCACAGCCCAGCCAGGCGTCCTCGCCATCGAAGCCACAACGCAAGCCTGGACAGGACATTCCCTAACAACAGCCTACATAATGATCTGGTTCATCTACTTCGTCGAAACACTGCTAGCCGGCACAACAGCAGCGCTCATACCATACGTCACATCAGCCTTCTCCATGCACTCGTTCACGCCCACCGTCAGCATCCTCAGCAACGTAGTCGGCGGAGTGACCAATCTGACGATTGCCAGAATCATCGATGTCTTTGGGCGACCGCATGGCTTGATCTTATGCGTGTGTCTCGGAACACTGGGATTGCTTATCATGACAATATGCGAGGGCGTCGGAGTGTACGCGGCGGCAATGATATTCCATACGGTGGGAAATAATGGCGTGCAGTATATACTGGCCGTCTTCATCGCTGATACGACAAAGTTGGAGAACAGGGCGCTGATGCAGGCCCTTATGAACTCGACTGGTCTGATTACGGGATGGGTAGCTGGGCCGTTGGCTCAACGGTACCTTGGTGGCTTGGGATGGCGGTGGGCGTTTGCCATGTTCAGTGCACTCGTTCCGCTTGTTACGCTGCCGCTGTTTGGGCTGCTGATGTGGAATTACAGGAAAGCGAAGAGAATGGGGCTTGTGCGCGAGCGCAAGACCGGTCGCAATGCTCTGCAGTCTGTGATACACTACAGTCGGGAGTTTGATGCGATCGGCTTGTGCTTGGTCTCGGTGGGCGTTACGCTTTCCCTGCTGCCGTTCAACCTTCACACGTTGGCGGGCAACGGTTGGGCATCACCGTCCATGGTGGTCATGTCCATACTTGGCGTCTGCTTCCTCGTCGCATTCGTATTTTGGGAAAGGTCCTTCGCGCCCATCCGCCTTCTTCCATACAGCTTACTCATGGATCGAACCGTCTCTGGAGCATGTCTCGTATGCACATGTCTCTTCGGCAGCTATGCCATCTGGAACAGCTACTTCAGCTCTTACCTGCAAGTCGTGCAAGGCCTTAGCGTGGAAGAAGCGAGCTACGTCGCGCAAGCCTATACCATTGTCAGCGTGGTATTCGCGGTCTTGGCTGGCTACATCATCCATCGCACTGGCCGCTTCAAAACCATATCGCTCGTTATCGGTATCCCGCTCAGCATGCTGGGTCAGGGTCTCATGGTCCTCTTCCTCGCTCCAGGGAACACCGGCTATATCATCGTGTGCTTCCTCCTCATCTCCGTTTCACAGGGCGTCCTCGTCGTTACGGATGAGATCGCTATCCTGGCCGCAGGGTCGCACGAGCATGTTGCGGCGATGCTCGCTCTTGTCAGCATCTTTGGGAATATAGGTGGAGCCATTGGTTTGACTATCGCCGCCTCAATCTGGTCGGACGTGCTTCCAAGTCGACTGCGGCAATACCTGTCCCCGGAGGAGTTGCCAGATCTTCACGGGATCTTTGGGGATCTGGCGAAGCAGTTGTCTTATCCGATCGCCTCCCCCACGCGCATCGCTATTCAGCATGCATATGAAGACGCGATATCTCGGCTTCTACTCGTGAGTACGGGTATATGGGTCCTCGGCGCTTTCGGAGTGTTGATGTGGCGGAACATCAATGTGAAGCAGATTCAACAGAGCAAGGGCCATGTTTGGTAATGCGGACGGCTGACTGAGCTATAAAGGCGTGTGGGAACTGTTAGTAGATATAAATGAAGCGTGATATCGAGTTCATGGTACGTGGTGTTGGGAATGAACGGCGTGTGCGCGTGAAGACCGGAGCAACAAAGACCGTTCATCTGACATCCGGGAATAGATACTCCGTGGTAGGGCGTTTCGGGGCGTAGAACCGCCACGCGGGGCTTTGAGCAGCGGCGTCGCAGCCGTCCGCAATGCGACGCTTCACGAAGGTTTGCGGCTGTTGATTGGAATCGCGCTTCACCTGAAGGCGACATATACCTCTTTCTCACTTCTGAAGTAGGCCACGCCTGGAATCCACAAGAGAGAAGTCATGCAACACGCCCGACAGCCCCCGCAGCCAGCGGCGGACGCGCAAAGCTTCCGGACGCTCTACTGCACCGAAGTTCAATCCTCGTCACTACGAAGCGAAGATCGTACTTGCTCGCTTTGCGTCACGCGCTATGGCGACCCTAGTCCTGACGAGCAAGGAACACCTGAACGTCCTGTTCAAATCCATTTCGGCGACTGTCATCACGTCTTCGGTCATCGTTGCTTGCGCAAATTATTCGAAGGTCGCAATGCGTGGAGCAACAAATGTCCACTCTGCCGCACCCATTGGTTCAACACTATCCGAGACATCCCGGCGAGTGTTCTTCTGGAGATCATTCTCGCAATGCAGGAGCCAACTAGAGAGAATGCCGAAGCCGCCTGGCCTACAAGACCATTTGAGGATCCATACAGCTTTGTCGAAGATACCCTTTCCGCAGAAATACCTGAGATCAGCCGTATCGCAGCTTCCGGGACTGTTCGCACGGATCGTGTTCATTTCACTTATCATCCCAGGGAACCAGTACCATCTCCATGGCCGGAGCGTCGGCGAAGATTGGGTGTAGCGGTGAGAGATACCATTGCGCGACTGCGCGGCAGGAGAGACGGAGATGGACGTAGCAGCCGAGCGGATACACCGCAAGCTGCAAGACCCGAAGGCGTTGAGGGACATGTGAGGCTCGCAAGGTCTGTAAGACCAGTGACGGTAGCAAGAGCAGGAAGACTCGCAAGGATGCTAGGGTCCTCAAGACAGACAATCACAATTGGACCTGGCAGCCTTCCGGTGGAGGCTAACAACACGCATGTTCGGGCGGCGAGTGCTCGGTCTGACAGCTTCAGCAGCTCGAGTAGCTCTAGTTCCTCTACTACATCTCGCAGCGAGGAGCATGTCTTTTTGGGTGGTTTGCGGCGGAGTAGACGACGTATTGGAACCCGGGGGACTGTTAGGGACTTGTGGACGGTCGTCCAATTGCTCGAGCAGGCCGATCGCATGGCCGTCACTACCTGTGAGCGTTGCGGACGGGCTAGATCCCATAATGTGAGACCGGGCTGTTGTCGGCGGTAAAGTCGTGTAGTAATACTGAATGGAGTCAATTGAAGCACGCATCCCTGAATGTCCCGCGATGAACATGTGGAATGTGTGATGCCAATCTGATAGCTTCAAGCATAGCAGCGACTTCAGAGGCGCGACGTGAAGCCCAGAACGATGTATAACTTCTCTTCGCATGGACCTCGTTTTGCACTTCCTTACCATTACTTACCTGCGTGCGCACTTGTAGAAACGCTTATCAAACTCAACATGCCTAGTCGCCGAGCTGAACGACGCATTCGCGAGTACTTATCGCACTTGATACCTGTGCCACTAAACGATGTCCCAGAGGGTGATCGCATATGTCCGTTGTGCTACGAGGCCTTTCCCCCGCTGGAGGAAGGCGGCGACTACCCAGTCCGTGTACGCTCCACCCACCCCAACTCGAACTGTCGGCATGTGTTCGGAAGGACGTGCATCGAAGCGCACCTGAGCAGTCCTAGAGGATATAGCATGTGGTGCCCAATATGTCGCGAGAGCTGGTTTGACGACGCTAGAGCCGAGGCACTCGGAGGCGTCGACGAAGAGCCAGACCCGACATCACTTCTAGAGAGGAGTCTCTTTCGTGTGCCTGCGGTGGGACTGAGAGGTCGGCGAATTGAGCTTATCTTCGGGTTGGAGAATACCAATGAGCAGGACGTTCGGCGATTCTTCCAACACATAGGTGAAGCTCTACGTGCTATACCTTCCGCAGAACTCAATGCTCAAGCAGCTATCGACCAGACCATTCAGGCGATTGCTGACGCCGAGGAAAGATTGCGCGTGATTCGCGCCGTCGAAGCCGATCGCACAGCGCCCCCAGCTGTGGACATGTCGCAAGGCATGCGTCGTGGCAGCGCAGAGGAGGAAGACGAGGAGATGGCACGGCGAATAATGCAGGCGGAGCTGCGACAAGTCAGACCGGCGGTTGAGGATGCGGCTCTACAACCTGCTGCGGCGACTGCGGCGGCCCCGATCGCGGTATCACGTGAGGCCGATGAGCGGCGGTTATCAGATCGAGAGTCTCAGCGGGGACATACACCGCCAGCGTTGCGACGCCGCGACAGATTGTCTGAGCGACAACACGACGCGATCCTTTCGAGCGCAGGCCGCATGACAAGAGCGATCGGCTTCCTGGAGCAGCTTCGCCGGATGGAAGAGGTGACGATTGATAGTTCTGACATAGTTGAGAGAGTGCAAGACGTTGAAGATGCCGTAAACGCTTTGTGGCGGGGTTTTGAGGACGATAGGCTGCGACGAGGGCGCGTTCGCTTCGTGCGTCGCGACTCTTGAGCAATAACTGAGCAATGCGATTAGCTTCTGTAAATGCAAGTGTTCCCGTGTTTGGTTGCCATGATGTGAAGATGGAGTGGGTGTGCTTGGGCGGCGATGCTTGCGGGATCCGCCCGGAGATTGCGATTATCTCCGACGTCGCGCTAGTCGCGTCTGATTCTGCACCCACCAATTGCGCCGACGCGACCATCGTCAAACGCGTTCAGAAGCGCGCAAGCTCTGCAACGTCGCCTATATCTTCCAGCCGTAATACCCAGGCTGACAGTTCAGAACACCATGTCGCGCCCACAAGCTAATGATGACTTCAAGGGCGCCACCGATCGCTTTTTGGCGTGGTTCAAGGCTGGCGGCGGTGTCTTCCGCGACGACCTGCTTGAAATTCAAGATTTGAGAGACAAGGACGCGGGCCGAGGAATCAGTACGCCTTCCAAACCCCAGCAATGCGTAGAATTGTGAGCACTGATAGTGCATAGTTGCGAAGCAGGATGTACCACAAGATACGACGCTATTCACCATTCCCAGAGACCTGATCATTAGCGTGGAGACTTCCGAACTTCCCAGTAAACTGCCAGTAGTTTTCGACGCGTTTGTCGGTGGTGAAGGCGACGATGAGAAAGAGCCTCTCGACTCATGGACATCCCTCATACTCGTCATGATGTACGAGCATCTACAGGGCGATGCATCACGCTGGAAGCCATATCTGGACGTACTACCACGGACGTTCGATACACCCATCTTCTGGTCGGAAGCAGAACTGAAGGAGCTCGAGGGAACTTGCCTTTCGGTCGACAAGGTTGGAAAGCAGCAAAGTGATGATATGCTGCGATCGCGCGTTGTTCCCGTCGTCGAGGAAAACCCGAAGGTCTTCTATCCGGAAGGGGCTTCAAAGTTGGATAGTCAAGAACTTCTTGATCTTGCGCATCGTATGGGTAGCACCATCATGTCTTACGCTTTTGACCTGGACAACAAAGACGAAGAGTCCGACAATGAAGAAGACGGATGGGTTGAAGATCGTGACGGCACCACTCCTCTTGGAATGGTACCTATGGCAGACATACTCAATGCGAATGCCGACTTCAACGTGAGTCATATGCCAGTGTAGACGCAGACTTCAGTAAGCTAACAGACCCCGACAGGCACATGTCAATCATGGCGACAGTCTCGAAGTTACGTCGCTTCGATCAACTCTGTCAGCCGGGTCGGAAGTTCTGAACTACTACGGTCCGTTACCGACGTCTGAGCTACTACGCCGCTATGGCTACGTAACACCTGAACATGCTCGTTACGATGTAGCGGAGCTATCTTGGAGCCTCGTTCGCGCAGCGCTCATTGAACAGCTCACAGTGTCGGAAGATTTCGTCAGCAAGGTCGAGGTACGATGATGACCATCACGCTCCCAACGGGCGCATGAGCTGACAGTGACACAGGCAAAGCTTGAAGAGAACGAAGAGTTCGAAGAGTACTTCATCATCGAGCGCGACTCCGGCGACCCAGATTCGGAAGGGCAACTCACCTATTCGGCTCAGCTGCACGAAGTCTCCCCGGAGCTGGAAGAGCAAGTAAAGGCTGTGTTCAAGGGCATCAAGAAGCAAAAGCCAGAGCTCTTTTCGGAAAAGCGGAAGCGCGTTGACGACTACCAAGCGATCGTATCGAAGGCTCTGACTGCAAAGCTTGGGACGTATCCAACGACCATGGAAGAAGACGAGACGCTTCTCAAAGGTGACGACCTGGCTAAGCGCCGTCGCATGGCGATCACAGTCAGGCTCGGTGAGAAGAGGCTGCTTCATGAAGCTCTGGCACTTCTGCAGCGGGGCGACGGGGAGGATACCCGAAGACAATTACACAAGAAGACGAAGCAGAGCGCATAATCTATGCTTGGGACTAGGGAAGCCCTGTACCGATGTTGCCTTCACGCCACCTCGTACTAACACATGAAACGCATCCTCCGCGGCGCGGTCGCATGGCCATAACTTTGGCGTCAATGATGCCCGTTCTATAGGCCATCGTGTCACCGTTGAAAGTTCTGGGCTTATTCAGACCAGCGTGTCAATCCGATTAGTATGTCCTTAACTTCGTCCTTTGTCAGCCTTGGGCCATCCAGGCGGTTATCAGCTCTTTGTTCAATAAATTTGAATAGCGTTGAATAGTTCGAGTACTTCTCGTGGCCAGGATAATTGTTGGCTACTATACCCGCAAGATCGATAAGCTTTGTGGAAGTCTCATTCTGTTAATAATGTTAGTCTATTCGGCTATTAAGTATCAAGGACATCGTGGCGTTCCTAACCTCGAT